ACTAGGCTAAAGTACTGCTAATATTGTACCACTATTTTTCCTAGTACCACTTTTAAAAGCCGACCAACAGTACCCTCTAATGTACTCAATAAGTAACCTCTAGCACCTTTATCAAGTCTCTAACCCGCCGCTCCTTCCTCGTACTCTCTCACCCTTGCTTTGCACGAAACAAAACAAGAACAGCACGGTGCAGCAAAAAACGTCTGATTCAAATTCCCCGTTTTCCCGCCAAAACAGCCAAAAATGGAAAGGGAAAAAGGACAAGTGGCCAGAGGGCAGGCATGATGTCATACGATGATGCCGAAATAGGAGATACAAAAGAAGACGTGGCGTCAGAAGGCTGGCTTATTGTAGTAGGCATAACTGTGTTGTGATTGTCACTATGACGGAAATTTTAATTGGTGTTAAAGTGGAAAGTCATCTTTAGTAAAGTAAAGAGTTATATTTTAAATGGCAAGTCATAAAATTAACTTCCTTGGCCTTGATCAAAAGTTTTTAAGCTTTAAAATTAATTTTAAGGTCCTGAACTTATGATAATATAGCAAAAAGCAATTTAAAAACCCAAATCCTCAAAAAATCAATAAAATCCCTCAAGGCATTTCGTAATATCCACAATTCCCCACAATATTCTAAACTTTTAAACCCCAAAACCCCCACAAAACCCGACCAAAACTGCAAAAAATTCAAATTTGATCGCAGAAACCGCTTCCAAAACACAATGGACAACGCGTCGGAAAAGCCAACCGGCCCTGCGGCTCGTTGCACGGTCCGGTCGTCGCGAAATTGGAGCAAGAAAAGAGGGCGACGCTCTTTTCCCGCTGAATCCGACGGAATCTCAAAACTTTTCCGACCACGCCTCGAACTAATTTCTAATCTAGCGTGAACTGCTCGCTCGAATCTCCGCAATTTTAAGGTGTTTTTGGGGGTTTTTATGTCGTAAAAGCAAAGGGGATGATAATATGGGTTTGGAAAAGATTGTAGACGTTAATAATGACGCTAAAAGTGGTTTGAAATAGTTAAAATTTTAAAAAAAACTTCAAAATTAACAAAAATCATTAAAAATTTTTGTTACCTAATTTTGAGTATGGATAATACAAGGCGTTTTTTAAGCTGATATTTGATTAAAAACTAATAAAAAGTAGTTTAAAATAACAATAAATACATTGAAATACCAAAAATATTTTAAAATACATAAACGTACCCCGCCCGCCTCAAAAAACGCTCAATTTCAGCCCGTTTAACCCTCAAAACCCCTCCGGCATCCTTTCGTAATCGCCCAAAACCATTCCCCAATTAACCCTCCACATCCTCAAAACACACCCCCACACCCCCAACCCATAACCACCCCCCCGAACCCAGCCCACGTTCTTTGACCCGCAATCCCCGCAACCAAACCCCAAACGCGAAAAAACGGTTGCCGCTGGCTTTTTGTTCCAAAAAAATTCGTATAGTTGGCGAGTGGGAAAGGACGAGGACTTGAACGAAAAAAGGTCCGAGTCGAGAGTGCGACACAGCCGAAAACAGGCCCTGCCCCGGGTCCGACTGAGAACCGCACCGTGCGCTCGGTTCGGCTGCCAGCAGAGAGAGTGGGGGCAAGTGGGAGACGGCCAGACAATCAGAGCACGAATTTTGGCTACGGACTCGCGGCGAGCACTCCCTCCCCCCCTTTTCACGATTCCGAAAAAACTTTGTTTGGGCGGGTGTGGAGGATTCGAGCCAGCCGCCTCCAAACCCCCTTCTCACAATTTTTTCGACAGCGATTTCGACCATTGAATTTCGACGGTGTGCGACGTCTGCGCCCTCTGCCACCGCCTTGAAGCGTGCACACTCTCCGCCGATCGCCTTTTTTTTCTTTACCCACTCCTTACAGCCAGCCACCCGCCTCCGGCTCGCCAAAGCAAAGTGGGGCTGACCCACACAAATGCATTCGCATTGCACAGTTTTGTCGCTTTCTCTGTGGCTGTGGTCTCTAGGGTTGTCTGACTGTTTAGAGGGGGTTCTAGGTTTGTTTGTTCGTCTGGAATACTATCTAATGTTGTCTGATTGTTTATGGTATGTTCTGGTTTTGTATGTTGGTCTGGAGGTTGGGTCTAGCTTTGTTTAAAGACCTGAAGCCTTCTCTAACTTCTTTCAATAACCTGTCAGCTTCTGTTGCGCTGTCGGCTGACCTAGAGTACTCACTAACTTTGTCCGAGCACCTAAAAGTCTTCCCTTGTTCACAACATCTAAAACTTCTTCTTCATTACTCTCTTTCTCTAACCGTCTCTCAACTTTCTCACTGTATTTTCCTCTCTTATTCACTTCTGTTTCCATTTCAATTATCTATTACAACCCTCTACATCTATAACCTTATCTATTACATTCCTTCATATCTTTAGCCGTCTTAAATCCCTCCAAAAGTCGTCGCTAGTCGTCGGTTTCTGATTTTCGGCCTACAAAATTCCTTTGGCGATCAAACTTTTGTCGTTTTTCGGAAACGATTTGCGTCAGAAATGGCGCTTTGAATAGATATGTTTAAACGACTTGCGACACATTGAAAAGTCAATGAAAAAAGTTGCGAAACGTTTATGAAAGGTGGTAATGTTGCGACAAAAGAAAGACTGTGCGACAAAAATATAATATTATACATATCTAATACAGTGGGGAAGATATTGAGCTGATACTGTAGTCAATGCTACCAAGTTGACTTTAGTATAAAACTACGGAAAACACTTTCGTTACAGTACTGTATATCCATAATATTATCAAATTTTACATTTCTATAACAAACAATACTAAAGGCAATACGATACATCTTGATACACACTCATAACTGCTGCCAATTATCAGAACAAGATGTATATCAATTCGCAGAAGAGTCAGAGATCATGTTCAGACACTGTAACAGATCGAGAAATCATGTTCAGACTCTATGATAAGCTGAGAGATCATATTCACACATTACATGAATACTGGCAGAGACTACATTATCACATAGAAAACGATACACTAGAAAAGACGAAAGTATCACCTAGAGAACTTTAGACTAAAGAGACGACAGACAAGTCTCCAGAAGATGAGCTACAAGTGGATTGTCAACAAGTTTCGAGGGTTTCAAACCGTCTCCAACGCTCGCGACAAAACCTTTGCGACAAAGAACAGTTCAACTTTTAATAGCTAGCTGTTTTCGGCTTACTTTTTATGATTAGAGGAGGGGGAGGGTTTTGGAAAAAAATGAAAAAATCTACATTAAATACAAAAAATGCCCTAAAGGCACAAAATTACAAAGTAAAAGATATATATATATACATAATAAGACAATCAACGTTGTATATAATAAGCTACGTAGTACATAAAATTGTAAGAATTGAAAAGAACGATGTGATCACCTTATCTTTCTTATCAGCTCCAACCAATTAAGATCACCGTTCCATCTGTAATGACCAAAATAAAAAATTTGATCATTTCAAATGGAACGTTGACAGATCAGATACAAAAACTGATCATCAGACAATAAAAAGTGACGTCTGCAAACATTATCTAAAAAAATGATAATTTAGGACTAGTACTATACAACACATACTGAAAAAAATTTTAGAAAACGCTCTTTATAGCCTTAAGTTCCTACAGAGTTACTTATAACGCAATTTTGTATTGCAACACGTTCAATAAAAATGTAAAAAAAAACTCGTCAGACTTCATCAGACACACATATTACACATACGAACAGATACGAATATAGACGTCGTACCTGGATTACTTTTTGGCAGCTATTATAAAAAGAATGTTAAAAAGATTAGTAAACTAAATTTAGATATTCTTCAGGTATACACATACATGTTACTGAAGTTATACATATTGTAGTTAATAAACAAAAAATGTAAATATTATCGTATAGAAGCGATACTACAAACAATATTCTAATATACATACGCTATATTTGCCAATTTAAAACACCCTATCCTACCCTACCCTACCCTACCTTACCCTACTCTGCCTTATCTTAACCTATCTTATCCTACATTACCCATACCGTATAACCACCAAAGTCTAGGCTATCCCTAACATTCCAATGTCATTTTTCAAGCCTAAAAACCATAAGAAATAGAGGTATTAAAAAAAATCTATTCTCTGACCTCTCTATCACTTAAAAAACTTCTGGAATTTTTTTTATAACGCCTCAGGAAATGCACTTTTATTGTTTTTATCACAACTGATAAATAATCTATTTACAAGTTCCTGGAACAGCCACAAAGGCTTTTAGGTTAGCCAGGGTATGGGGGTTATTATACTGTCATTTTGACTATACATTGGCTTAGGAACTAACTTTCCGCTAATAGAAATATCCACTCCCCCCCCATTTTGCCCTACCCTTTTCCAATCGCTTCCTTTTCAGCCTTCTAATACACATATTCTAAACGCTAGCTAAAGAAAAAGACGCGAGCGAATACGACCTCAGATAGTGAGCAATACGAAGTGATGCCGCGACAAGATCGCTCGAGAAAAGCACGAGTTGGCACCAGTCCCTCGCATCTCACCTGCGAATTGGAATTATGAATAATGTCATAATCGTGATTAATTCGCTTCATCAAAACATGAGAAGCTACTGTAAAGTAGCTCATCAAAAATTAAGAGAACACACAGTAAAGTAAGGCTAAATACACTGTAAAATAACGCAAAAGATATTTTTAAATAATTCGAAACTTACTATATGTACATAACCTATAGTAAAAGCAAAGAAATTTACTAAATAGTAAGAGAAGTCATACTGCAATATGACACATAACATACTGTCAGTAACAGCGCATATACTACAAAATAAAGCAAAGCCTACTGTATGGAATCTCAAAACGTACATAGTACCAACAACACTACATAGTACAAACAACACGTTACATAGTACCAAAAAAACTGTAAAATATTAAAAGATAATGCTACATAGCACAAACTATATTCTTAAATAGTAAAACAATACCAAAAAACGAATATGACAAAAGTTTATTCAAAAATATTAGTCAGATTCAGAGTACGACGGCTTCTTCTCGTTCTGTTGGTCGTTGGGTGCTACAGACTGATAATGATAACTGTGATGTTAGTGACATTGCTTCGCCGCTCTAAAATCAAAGGTTATATCATTGTATCTATGTATTAGAAATAGAAAATAGCACAAATCAAGAGTGACATCTTTTAATAGCCAATCAAACGATAAAAACTTACTGATTCTGTTTTTACACCATCCGAACTTAATGGTTGGGTATGCTTTAATGACCTAAAACATTTAAAAATTACGACACATTTTAGGACAAAGTTACTCCACGCTCCCCTACTCTATCCTATTCCCATCTACTGTACCCTCTTCTAACCTACTCCACTTTACGCCTATTTATCTTACGTATAGTCTACTCCTCCCCCTCTATCGTCTTCAATACACCTAACCCACAACTATACCCCGTCAAAAAATTGTCAAACTTACAATGACTTGTAGCTCTGTTGAGTATCGTCCAATTCAGATCCGTGCATGGAGATTCGCTCAGTCGGTTCCATTGCCGGTTTGACTTTTCCTTTACTTTGAGGTGGGTTTATAATCGAATTCTAGAAACAAAAAATATTTATAAACATGTCTTTACTATAAAAAATAATTTTAAATTTCAATTACCATGCATGTAAATTATCCAAAAATTTGTGCAAGTTTAGGTATAATAAGAAACTGTGTTAAAAAAAGAGAGCTTGAGACAAGCAAAGAAAATCAAACCCAGTCAAAAGGTAATGCGCGCTTTTAAGACCTTTTAGAGTATGAACAGATCTATAGGATTAACATCCACAAACAAGGTTAGCTTGTGGTTCCGGCTCTCAAAAGTGGCTAGAAATTACTAATTTTGGAATGTTTGGCTGATAAGTTAAACTAATATTAATACTTTTACTTACACGGAGCAAACGTACGAATAAAGTTAATAATGTAAATATATATTTATTTAAAAAATTGGTTATTTTGTAAATGTCAGTAGTTGAAGCTGTTAAGGTTGCGGAAAGATTAGTTTCAGCTTCTATTTTCTGAAACTTTAAAAAAATTTTTATGAAAATTTTTCAAATTTCTTTGAGATTATGCGTTCAACTTATCAGCCAAACATTCCAAAATTAGTAATTTCTAGCCACTGTGCAGAGCCAGAACCACAAGCTAACCTTGTTTGTGGATGTTAATCCTATAGATCTCCTCAAACTCTAAAAGGTCTTTAAAGCATTTTTCTTTTGATTGGGTTAGGTTTACCCTAACCGTCTTACGCACTCTCTATCAAACTACGTCTTATTAGGGAGGAAATAACATGCATAATAAAATCATAGCGCTTGGCATAAAGTAACAAGAGACTAAAAAAATAAAGGGAGGGTAAGACTGTCAGAGAAAATCAAACCCAATCAAAAGGCAATGAGCAATTTAAAAACCTTTGACAGTATGAACAAAGCAATAGGATTATATCCACAAAAAAGGTTAGCTTGTAGTTCTAGCTCTCAAAAGTGGCTAGAAATTACTAATTTTGGAATGTTCGACTGATAAGTTGAACTCATTTAACAAGACAGATGTTAAACTCTCTCTCCCCCTTGTATTTTAGTAATAAGCATGTAAACGTAACAGAGTAAACTTAAAAACGTTATGATAAGGTACCTACCGACTTGAGTCTTTCTTCGGAACAACTTTTTATACAAGCCGGGCTAGCTATGCTGTAGGTTGGTCGGCATGGGATATCTGTAGCACTTTCATTTACGTCCGCTAAAATTTTAGTACGTGTTATTACATTACTATTTAGAATTCTATAAACTATAACATTGTAAAGTAATATCTTAGAGCTAGTAAGAGGAGAGAGGTGGCACCTTTTCAAGTCAACCCTAAAGTTTCCTTACCGTTATTTCTACGAAACCTTGAACATGTTGTCATAGCTAGTGCGAAAAGGAATCCCGTTGCCAAATGATATAAAACTGCCCACAAAACATGGTTCATTTAGAACCGGTTTGATAGAGTAAAAATTATCAAAATGACGTTTTTTATATTAAATTTAAAAAAACTCAAAAGATATAAAAACTTTCAAATTCCTACAGGATCAGTAAGTTATCAGTAGTACTAAAAAGTATAACATTATTGTATCATAAATTAGGGCATGGAACTAAAAGAAATCTTTATCTCTGGAAGAATTGATAAAAGTTGAAATTAGACATATATGTCGATTTAAAAAAACTGAAGTTGCCAGCAGGGCCGGGCGGGGACTTAGCTACCTGTGCCGATTTTTTGCAAATTTTTTTTTCCCGAAAATCCACAGGGGGGGGACCACGTTCAACTTTTTTTTCAAAAATTTTTTTCTGGGGGGGGAGTAGGACCAGCCAGCGATCAACCCTCCTCTTGAGATCCGAATGGGGTACCCCCCCCGTCCCCCCCCCTCGCGCCCGGCCCTGGTTGCCAGTCTAACACACTTACGTCACAGTGTATCTTACATTTTATAACTATAATCTTTTAACATTTTGTGTAAAATATTATACTTTGGTTTCTGTTATTTTTTCAAGACCTACAATATGAACAAACCATGTGAACTTTGTTGTTTTATCTCATTTTAGGTTTTTTACTCGAAAAGGCGGTTTGTTGTGACAAATGACCACGATCGCGGCAAGTTTTCCATTTTTTCATAACTCTGACTTTAATTAATTTTACTTGGTATAACGCTTGTTTTAGTAAAGTATATCTTACCTAAAATTTGAAAAACTTCAAAAAATTTTAAATGTAGCTTTCAAACTTCAAAAATCGTTATTTTTTACGGTAAAATGTCATTTTTTTGTCATATTACACTCGTTTTGTAGAAAAAATTTATATCAATAGCATAAAAAATTACAGTAGGATTCATATTGTATAAAAAATCAGGAATTTAAAAGATTTTAGCTATGAAGTAGTTGTTATAGAAGAGTTCGTTATACAAGAGTTCCCCTTTATACTTTACTATTATATAAAGTTACAAGAGGCCACTGTATACGTTATTATATAAAAATTACTGTATAGTAATTTTATAAGTTTCAGCGAGTCAGCGCACTAAAAAGTTGTTCGACGATAGCAGATGTAGAGAAGCTGGCCAAACTTCGATTGGCCGTCAATGTCAAAGACTTTGTCTGTGGCGGTGCTGAGGGACAATGGACTTTGGAGAGGAATGTCAGACAGTTCGAAAAGTAGGGTTTTGTTTAGTACAGTATCCAAGAATATCAACAAAAAGTAAAGGTTTTGGTGGTATTTTTTGCTTTCACAGCAACTTATTGTTAGGTAAAAAATGCAATGTAATACACTTTCTACAGAATCTACATTGTAGTAACCTCATTTTAGATTCTTGATTCGCAAACGAATACCTGATAAAATAAGGACAGAAGTTTGTTTAAAAACAGAACTGCAAATCAAGAATACAAAGCTTGAGTATGATTTGCCAATCGGAATGTCACCAATCTCTCTGCATGGACTAGTCCACGCCAAAGCCGAGGAACCTATGATTACTGGTGAGTTGTATTAGTTACTGTAATTTGACTCTTTTTTTATTTTCAGCTTCAAATACACTAAACGTGCCAGCAATTGCCAGTTCTTTATCCAACTTGCCCTTTGATAAGATTGCCACAGTTTCTAAAGAAAACAATGCTTGGATTCAGATGTATATACCAGCCAATGAGAAACATATGTTTCGCTCTATCGAACTCATTCACAAATTAGATTACAAGGTAAGTTATTAAACTTCTATACAGTAAGCCTTCTGTTGAGTTACTTTAAAATACCCTACCCTGCCTTAAACTATCTTGTAGTCTACACCCTACCCTATCGAATACAACATCCTATACTTGCTCCCTACCCCTACAATTACAAGTTTTTTACAAAATATAATTCTAAAAAATCAGTTTCAATTTCATATCGTTTTAGGCACTAGTAGTATCAATAGGCTGCCCAATCTCAGGCCGAAGACGGAACGACGAGAGAAATCAGTTTTCCTTGCCAGCACACCTTCGCTACGGTAACTTTCCCCATGTTCGCAGCTCACCACACAAACACCCCGCCCCACTTTTACATTCAGAACATATCAGTCAGTATGTCAGTCAGACCTTTCAGTGGGAAAACCTGAAGGACATCATACAGAAGAGTGATATGCCGGTAAGTTAAGGTAGAGAGATTTCCTGGCTGGTCTTGCTTCTTTTATGTATATTTATTGTTATGTAAGGTATTTTTACATTATAATGTAAACATCATACAATTAGTTTTCAGGTTATTGCCAAAGGCATTCTTCGTGGAGACGACGCCGAACGAGCTATAGAAGCCGGTTGTCACGGTATTTTTGTCTCTAATCACGGTGGAAGACAACTAGATCATGTTCCAGCTACTGTGAGTTAACTCCGAAAATAGCCTTTTTACCACCCCCCCCCTCCCGCCGCAGGGTTTAAATGGTAATAGAAAGCTTTTTTGAAAGAAACTTTTTTGGGATTAGAAAGCGTAGAACTGTTTATAAAAATAATTAATCATGAGTATACCTATAAAATGATAATCATAAGTATGATTCCTATAAAAATAATCGGTATGATACTTATAAATCCATATTTTCAGATAGAATGCCTGAGGGAAATTGTGAAATTAGTGAACAAAAGAGTGCCAATTCTAATGGACTGTGGAGTACGGTCTGGAGCCGACATACTCAAAGCCCTCGGGCTGGGTGCTGATTTTGTTTTTATTGGACGTCCTTATCTTTATGGTCTTTCATTAAGTGTAAGTTTATATTTTTAAAACCTAAAGTATTACCCAAATGTCATTTGCATTGGAAGACGAGTACTAGAATAATGTAGTTTAAGATCTCAAAAACATTAGTGATCTTTTACACCACTTTTGAATGTAATAAAAAGTCTATTTCGTGATAGTACTAGGTAAATCTCAAATTATTAGGTTGTTCAAAAAATTCTATGCTCCTTAATCCACAAAATTTGCTTTGCTAGGGGGCACAGAATTATTTGAACAACCTAATATTACACTAACTTTAGAAAGTATTGAAGTAACTCTACTTACTTTTAGGGAAAAGCGGGTATTATCCATGTGTTTGACATTTTAAAACAAGAACTGGTCGATGAATTAACAGCAGCTGGTTATTCGGATATCCAGTCGGTCAAAGATGACGTGATAAACAACTTTGTCGTACATGAAAGCTATTACAATGACATTTGAAGTAAATAAACTTAAAAGCTAAAGTTTTAGGTAAATTAAGTAACTTACTTTTCAAATTTTACAAAAATTGAAATTTGGGTAACAATTTACATATTTATTGCCATAATAACTTGCAAAACATATTAAAATATAACTTCTACGGCAAATAGTTAAGTACATACATTAACTTGAGGTCGTTATAAGTGAGAGATCTCATAGAACAATATAAACCCTTAAAGCTGTCAATCGACTTGATCGATCTTAATTTGCTGATCTGTTGATTTGATCAATCCCGTCTCCCAATCAGTCCAAGTATTCAATCCCGACTGGCTGACGACACCTTCTTGACCAATCGTTTCCTCTTTTCCGACCTACAGTCATCTGATTGTGAAGCAGCATCAGTATCATTCGAAGGTGTTAAGGAAGGGGAATGATCTTGTAAATGTCTAAAGACTTCTTTCTCTCTCAAAAACAATGGCACAATCTCTTCCTTCTGCGACCAGGTAATGTTCTTCTCGACCAGTTCCAGCTTCGGTGCTTTGCAGAATGGCAGCTTTTTACAGTGATTCAAGATCTGAGGTGAACATAACACAATATCATCACCGTAGGATGCTGAAATAAGTTGAATTTTAGAAAATGTTAAAAATGATATAAATGGTCAAGAGAAATGACTTTGTAAGCTAAATTTACTGCAGAGTATACAAAAAAAAATGCTTTAAAATTACAATAGAGAATCAAAAAGTTGCCAATATTAACCTACGTTTAGCATATTTGACCATTTGAAGCGCCGACAACGTGCTAATGATGTCATCCGGATGCACATGTGTAGCTGCACTCAACTCGCTGACTAGACAGCCGTTGATCCATCCATTCCTTTCAATCGCATTCAACAATATCCACCACCAGTAGCTTCTGTAACTGACCTTGCCCAGATCTGACAACGGTTTCTCCGGCGTTCCAATGCTGTTTTCCAACGTAGACAGTGCGTAGCTCAACTGAATCAACAGTTTACCATAGCCTTTGCGTTGATGACATGGCAGTACCATAATACAAGCCAAGTTGTTGTTGGTACCAAACTCTTTAGAGAAGTGACCAACAAGATGAGATCCATGTTCATCTACTTCACATAACACATAGAATCGAAAGTTCTCCACTTCGTAATATAAGGTCTTGTGGTCGAGGAACAGCTTTGATAAGAGGCACAGACATTGGCAGTACAACTGAAATTAGTTGATTTTATTTTGTATTATATATTACAATATTACACACAAAATAATACTTTAGTAAAAATTTTTAAAATTTTAGAAGAAACTTTTAAAAGTTTAAATTTTCTCTATCAAAGATCATAATAAAATTGATTACCTTGTAAACATTGCCAAAAACTTCGTGTACTGCAAGGTTTTTGTTCCTATATATACATTGACCTGGAGGTTGTGTCCTCACGCATCCTTGTGACTAAAAACGGATCAATTAGCTACCTTCCTTCCCTTCATAAACCGTTAAAGCGACATATTCAATAGAAAAAACCATGATTTTTAAATTTAAAAACTCGAGATACTGTAAAAAAATTTTTTAACATAGTAAAACAAATACCTCAACTTTGAACTTCAAATAAACTTACAATATGTCTGTTGTACTTCTGATAATCCGAGTAGTAGAACAAACAATATTCACATATGTAAAGTGTCTCCACAAATCCATCAACAATGGCTGTGGGATAAGGCGAGTAATACCAAGCGTCCGCTTCCCATGAGCCTATCACAACTCTCTGAACATTCTTGATCTTGGTCCTCTCTTCGTGCTGCTTCTCCAATTTAGCTGTGGTTGCATCCAAATCGTTGATGCTTTTAGGTATATGTGAAAATTCTTCTTGAATCCTTCGCTGACTTCTGGTTAAAGGCTGTTCGATCTCTCGTTTCCTTGTGATAGCTTTAATACTAATTGGACTTCGATCGAGAACTCTGTCAAGCCCTATCCATTCGTCCAAACGTCGATCTCTGTTCTCATAATGTACATAATATTGTGTTTGGTTAGATCCGTCGTCACAAACTAAAAGAACAAAATAATTATCTTAAAAATAGACGAAAATGAAGAATATTTCATGCACTTCGCTTTTAAATACCCTTTTTCAAGTAGTTTATCCTCCCGATTTGCCAGAACTCAAGTTTCATATCTAAACACTAAAAAATAAAAACAAGTTACCTTGTTGCCTAACGTCCAAAACCTCAGCTGGCAGCTCGAGTTTCTGCCCAGCAATAACCACAGTCGCATTCACGTAATCGCCTAGTTTGATCTGGTCCTTGTTCGTCTTGAAATGACGCGTTTTAACCATAACTGCAGCTGCATCTTCATTGTGATACCTCTGTTTGACCATGAATAACTTCAAAGAGGTAAGATCTACGAAATTTTATAGAAATTTCAATTCCTAAGAGTAATTTTTTCAGAAAAAATAAAATTGCGAAAAAATAATAAAATTTTTGTCTTATGACATTACGCCAACTTAATAATATCGTGACAGGACGGATTTTTTCAAGACGTTTCTCGAAAATTTCCGAATTTTTACAAACTTTACTTTGTAGTAGTGGAATAGTGTTGTCATTTGGATAATTAGTGTTTTTAATAATATATTTATCGTCTCGTGACTCTTTGTTTGATTTTGTTTTGCCAAATTTTCTTAATTTTGACGTTTTTAGCACCAGTTATTCTTCAATCATCATGACCGAAGCTGTTGATCTTAGCGGAGTAAGTTGTAGTTTTAATTGTTTAGTGTTTAGAATTGGTAAAGGACGTCTATAGAGTATTATACGGCTTCTTGTGACTAAAAACTGCTTTTACGACCTTACGATGTAAATATTATTTTGAATAATTAACTTGTCCTTTCTTTCTCTGTTCTACTGAATTTATATAGTTTTGTTATAATTATTGGTGCAAGCGATAGTAAACTTTTATTCTAAGGATGGAGGAGTATTAAAGACAATTTTGAAAGAAGGAACCGCAGGAAAGAAGCCATCTCCAGGAGATACCGTCTATGTTCATTATACAGGTACTTTGGTAACTGGTGAGAAATTCGATTCTTCCAAAGACCGGAATGAACCTTTCCACTTTTCTTTGGCCAAGTCTCAGGTAATCAAAGCATGGGACATTGGAATTGCCACTATGAACATCGGGGAAGTTGCCGTCTTTGAATGTCGATCTGATTATGCTTATGGAGACAGTGGATCTCCTCCAAAGATACCTGGAAAAGCGACCTTGAAGTTCGAAGTTGAATTGATCAAGTTTGAAGGGGAAGATATTTCTCCAGACCGTGATGGAACTATTATCAAGAGTGTTATCGCTGAAGGAGAACGTTACAACTATCCCAGCGAGTTTGCTCCTGTAACAAGTAAGTAATTATGATAAATTTGGGGTGAAGTAAAACCACATGATACGTGTTTTTTATGATTTTCAATAATATTTAATATGTCTTTTCACTTTACGTTTGAATGGTAAGACGTTAATGATTTATTTTTCAGTTCACGCTGTTGGAAACTACCAAGGCACGGTGTTCTACGACAAAACTGTCACATACGAACTCGGGGAAGCTTCGGAAGTCGGCCTTCCAGAAGGTGTTGACCGTGCTCTTCGTCGTATTGCCAAGGGCGAGAAGTGTCGCATCGTTTTGAAAGGAAATCGATTCACGTATGGCTCCAAATCTCCAGAAGGCTTCGAATTCCCCATCAACGCTGAATTAGAATTCACAATCTTCTTGACCGACTTCGAAAAGGTCAAAGCCAGCTGGGAGATGACTGATGAGGAAAAAGTAGAGCATAGTCGAGTCCTTAAGGACAAGGGTACCAAGTTCTTGAAACTGGACAAACTTCATCTTGCCTTGAACAAATACGAAGCCATCGTCACGATTCTGGAGCATGTGAACCCAACCGAAGATAAGCTGAAAGAAGACTTGGAAGCTGTTCTGATCGCCGCTTGTTTGAACTGTGCCTTGGTCAATGTAAAACAAAACTTGACCGCCGAAGCCATAAAATACTGCGACAAAGTGCTGGCGAAGAACCCCGATCACGTCAAGGCACTGTACCGTAAAGCTCAAGCTCTACAACAAAGAACCGAACTGGAAGAAGCCATGAAGATCTACAACCGAGTGATTGAACTTGAACCCGAGAACAAAGCCGCAGCCCAACAGATATTGGTCTGCAAGAAGCTGGTCAACGAGATCATCCAGAAGGAAAAAAAGAAGTACTCCGGACTGTTTGACAAGCTGTCCAAGATGGAAGAAGCCGAGAAGAGCAACAGAATCGATGATGCTGATGCAGGCGAAGGAACCAGTGATCAACCTCAACAAGTAGAAGTCGAAGCCAACTAAATTATCTTGTAATACCTAATAGAAAACATGTGATCTCTGTGCTATTTAATAAATATATATTATAAGTTATCTGTTCTTTAAAAATTTTTAATGAAAGACAAAATGGGAAAGGCCTTGTTTTGAGAAGGATTTCTGATACCAACGCTGTTTGAATACCTAATTTCAGCAGATATTTAGTAAAAAATTATAATAATTATATAGCTTACCCCGTTACCTTTACAGACTATGCTTCTACGTTTCTTATACAGCTGTATTGTATAAAATACATTACAATCATCTTGAAAAATCAATTGTGGCATCCCGTCAAAGGGAATTATAAGGATAATTTTTTATTTTTTAGAAAAACTGAAGTCATACTCTTGTTATACAGTTTATGTCTTACAAAGTTGGTGGAGGCAAAAGTGGCCTTCAGCTAACTCGAGTGGGATTACCGTTCTTCGCTATCGTTCTCGGATCAGCCTACTTTTTGAAACATTTTCAACAAGTGCGGTACGATTTTAGAAAGGTGAAAAAAGAACAGGAAAACCTAAAGGAATTTGTAAGTTGTTGCTGATTTTGGGTTCTTATAATGTAATTTTTGTCGTTGTAATTGTTGATCTCGTTTTAAGTTGGATAAATTACTTTTTTATATCAAACTTCTTTCAGAAAGCTAAACTCTCAGAAGAAGGTATCAGAGTCAAAGAGAAGCCTGTTTCGCTGGAAGAAGTGTACGACGTAAGTATTTTAACTATTTGTTTTGATTTTAGGTATTAAAACTTAGAACATATTTTTAATAGATTTTTAACAGATCTTTGGTCTATTCTTAATAAGTCTTCTCTTATAGGAAATCACAAAGCTTGACACCGAAAACTGGAGTAACATTAGAGGTCCTCGTGCTGAAGAAGACAGCCGTGAGTACTTACAAGCTCGATCTAAACAACAAACCGAAGCGAACGAACGACGTGAGAAGAGACGAGGCGAGATAACGAAGTTGATGGACGAAGCTCAAAAGTTATGAATGATTTCCATCCTGAAAAGTAGGTTTTTACTTTATAAATTTATTTATTCTTTTCATCAAGTAGTTTTGCGTTTATTTTTAATCTTTTGTTTAGTCCAGAAAACGAGAATCCTCCGGAGCCCCGGCCGAACCGTGACGTTCTTCCGGACCCAATTGTAGAGCCAAACGATATTCCTGTGGAGCCTGGAGCCAGTCTTTCAGATCCTCAAGAACCTTTGCCGCCAACTGCATCGTCTGCTCCAGAAGTACCAGGTGCACCATCAGAAGTACCAGCTAATTTACCTTCAGTGCCATCTGTTCCAAGTGCAGCATCATCTTCAGTACCAGCTGCACCAGTTCCGTCTTCAGCCTCAGTTCAGCTATCTCAACAACCGTCCAGCTCAACTTCTCATCCCAACGATCCATCACTTCAGGAGCTTGAAGTAGATTCAGAAAAGTTGGCTCAACTCCTTGAACTCGGCTTCGACGAGTTGATATCTGAATTGGCACTAAAGAGAACCAAAGGAAAGTGTTTGGACGCAACTATTGACTGGATCGTTGATCATTCGAATCAGTCGGATTTAGAGGACGATTCTGAAGACTCGGGTGAAGAATCTGGAGACGAAGGAATCAGTGGAGTCGTAGAGAAATCAGTTGCAGTTCCACGTGTTAGTGCTGAGGAATTACAGGCAGCTATGGGAGGTAAGGTTTTGAATGTGTTATGGGATGTTAAGAAGGGCAAAGTTTTAAGAATGGTGAGACAATTGTGATAAAAATTATTTTTTAGTAAGTGCAATATGTGAGTATTAAAAACTTGTAATTTTTTTATTGACGCTTTAAGCAAAAAATTTATTTATAGTTTGAAGGTTGATGTTATACTTTGAAAGACTAATTTTGTATTTCTTTACAGGAGTACTGTCAGGTCAAGCAGAAGCTGCCGGCACATCGGCCATGGCACGCCAGGAGCTGGTTAGTATCATGAAGGCTCTTCGTCCAGCTCGTACCCACAAAATGGTATTCGTCGCAAACATGTCACTTAAAATGGGCGCTGGTAAACTGGCAGCACAGGTTGGCCACGCTACATTGGGAGTGTACAAATATGCTCAAAGGAGCGAAGAGGTCAGTTTATAACTTAAATATTTTAAAATAAGGTTCAAAGTTCTATCCTCTATATAGGTTCAAATTTAGTTGACCTTGGGCTTGCAATAGCAATGTAAAAACCGCGAAAACAAATGATTTTTAAAAGTTGTTGCAAAATGATAACAATTTTGTTTTAGGGCAAGGCCGCTCTCGACGCATGGCAAGGTCACGGAGCAGTGAAGGTGGTCGTGAAGGGACAATCGACCGAGCAGTTGATTGATATGTTCAAGCAAGCCAAAGACCTCGGACTACACGCCTACCTGGTTCAAGATGCTGGCTACACTCAGATTCCCCCTGGCTCTAGAACTATCCTTGGGCTGTTCGGACCGGTCGAAGACGTTGACAAAGTTTCGGGTACCTTAAAACTTCTCTAACTACATCATTCTTGAAACAATCCTTAGTGTCTTTTCTAAAAATCGGTTATCAGTTCAATAATAAACGGTTTTATAATAACTATTTGCTGATTTATGTACACTATTATCTTATACATATTATGTAACATGTACACTGTAAATTCGTTTTTTGTAATTTGTATTGGTTTAGAGGCTCTAAAAGCGGTATACAATAATGTAAATTAATAGAAACGCCTACTACAATATGGTTTTTGTAATGTTAAGTGACGATTATCAATTTTAAAAAGGCTGAAATGATTTTAAAAGGTCGCGGGTTACGTAACTGACATGTCTGTGTTTAATAATAGTTTTAAAACACTTTAAAATAATCGAAAACAACACGAAAACTTGATTATGAATAACAAGATCGTTTCCCAATAAGTACGAAATAGTGCAAATCAAAGGAATCATTCTGAGATTAAAGACAATTCTTACAAATTCAAAACTCAAAAAACAGACATCAAACATTGTCATACGAGATACGTATTCCACAAACGCGTCTACTTCCTGAAACACAGTAAACTATTTGTAGTTTGTAGCATATTAAGAAAACAGGAACGGTGTAAAGTAAACGTACGAACGTTGAGCGTTCTTTTTACATTATCGACAGATCAGAGGGGTGGCAAAGACTTTCGTAATGTATATGATTACTGCAAAGCCACCCATGGTTGTAAAGTGTCATTCATCTTGTTGCTAGAGCTCAGGTATATATAATATTGGGTGGAGCTGGAGAAGAACAGTCTGTCAGCCACGATGTTCAAGGGACTTATTGTTTTGTTCGGTAAGTATCGAGTTGTGATGACATATCGTGTTATTGTACCGATTATGTTATGCTAATTACTTTTTGTAATATAGTTAGTAGCGGGCGTGGTAATTTTGGTTTAGAAAGGGGGTAGGGTTCTCTCTCCACAATCAACTTATCTTATTCATATCATCAATAATAAAGTGTTTTTCAAAATACTACAGTAATTTTAAAATCATTTGTAATTTTTCAATTTCAGCCATCTTCACCCTGATCTCCATGGTGTATTCCGATGAGGTGTTAGACGGCCTCCAACGTATGTTACAGTTGCCCAACAACAACCAACAAGGTGGTGGTGGTGGTGGTGCTCAAGAACCCGACCTTCTTGGCTTCTTGAAAGGACGTTAGATAGTGTACATAATGACATTTTAACTATATTTGACTAATAAAATACTGTAAAACCATCTATCTTATATTACTATAGAATACTGTAAATCTCCCACTGTAAGGAAAAACTTGACATGTGCCAAATATACGAAATAATGTTATTACAGTAAGATTATTGACCCCAAAGAGCTGAATCAGAATCTTCAAACCTCTCACCCAAACATACGACGACTTTATTATACGAATGTAATAAATAGAAATCTATAGTATTAGTTTGTTCAAAGAATTCTAGGCCGCTAACCACAAAAACTTGCTTGGAAAGAGAGCACAGAACTATTTAAACAACCTAGTAGCTTTTTCGTATTACTACGCTATACGGAACTCATTCGGAATACACATATTGTAGCCGCAACCAGTGTCACAGCACAGAGAATCCTTGGCACAGTCTCGATTAGAGTTGCACCAGTTGGTGGAGCGATGTTTGATACACTTGATGTCAAGTTGTTGAGTCGTTGGACACACTCCGCGAGGTTGAACACAACACGGACTTCCCACAACGTCAATGCATAACTGAAATATTAGAGTTTGTGGTTGTTGCAGATCTTTTACTATCGTATCTATGTTTTACTGCAGTAATTATTGTAATAAAGACAGTAAAACTTTAATTTGTGACCACTGACACCTTCGACTGAAAAATTACAATGTTCTTTGACCTTTAAAAGCAATATGATTTATGTTTTCCATACAAATTCCAGCCTTCTGGCATGATCATGTCCCCTTTTTGCAAAATTTGTGCAGTAAAAACAGTCTTTCTTCCAGTTATGGACAGTGTAAAACCATCCCAATGTATAAAATACAAAAGAACTGCCCTCTTCGCTAAATCAAAATCAAAAAACTCTGAATCTGCTCTTCGATATTATACTGAAAACGCGTTGTTTTAACTTTAGAGCTTTAGAAAAACTAAAATATTGGACTTTTTTAAAATTTACATTAAAATGTAAATTTGTTTAAATGATCCAATAATAAATCACATTATTCAAAAGAAACACAACTTTCGGCTTTAAAAAGACCTTTACCCTACTAATATTACCTATTTTTCAATATTTTTGGCTTGTTTTTATAATAAAAACCTGTTAAATTCTTGGTGTTACCTATTTTTAAACGTTTTTTTGTTTTCTTTAGAAATAACCTTTAATTTTTTCGCTATTACCTATTTTAAAACATTTTTTACTCCCTTATCAAAACTTCCTCAAGCACATACCATGTTACTTTCGCAGGACGGCGTACGCAAACAGTTTCTTGGATTGTACTTTAAGTAGCATTGTTTGTAAACGGGTGGCACGCTCGGCAGAGTCCCTTGAACGCCTAAATCCAGAAGAATAATGCTCCAAGTGAGCGGAGTCGGCGACGATGGGCCGCTCCGGAGCCGCGAGAACGGCGGTGGTTAGGCGTTCCGACTTGGCGACCAACATTTTCGGCCGCCGCTTCCGTTCGGCCTTCTGATCGGCTACGCGCTTCTGAAGCAACGCCACCGCCCACTTCAGGACACGGATCTTGGACCTGAGGCGACGCTGTTTGCGCTTCAACTTGAAGATCTTGATCTTGAGCAGACTGTTCTCGTGGTGAAGGAATTGGTTCAGCTGATTGGTTAGCTGGACTGTCGGGTTGGGAATGGCGTCAGGATTGGTTGGTTGTTCTGGCTGAGCATCGGAATTCTGAATTCTGCGTTGAGCTACTTTGGTATCGAAATCAGTTCTCTGGAAGATTGGTTTTGTTGGTAGAGGATCGAACACTGACGTCTCACGGTTGACTATGTTATCATTAATATTATTGTTGTTAAACAAAATCTTCTTTCTCCGAACTTCACGTACCGTGTCGTCATTGTTTGGTGGAAAGATCTGGGAGTCTTGTATCTTGTTATCAAATACAAGGTTCATTCCGTTGTTGTCCCCATTATTACCGTTTCTGTAGCTGAAACCATTGTTATCAGTGTCTGGCGTCCAAGGTCCACCGTGCTGGGCTTCGTTCTGTTGTCTCATGACACGATCACGCTGAAGCCTTGCCTGAATGCCTTCGTTATCGTTATCAACCCGTTTCCAGATGGTAGCTATCAGGAAACGAGGCTTAAACTTCTTGACCGGCCCGTCCGCCGACTCCGTCCACTTGGTTGGCTTACCGTTTCCGTCTTCTGCTTCCTCGATCTGTCGCACTTTCCTGGTACATCTATCATCCTTTACTCCGATCTTGTCCATGTACTCACAGTAAGTCATACGGTTAGACGCTGCATGGCTATAGTAAGCGCTTAGGCCTAGTATTAGAAGTACGTGGTACCTGGCCATCTCTTAAACAGTAATGTCAGTTGTTTTAGGCTCTTGTATTATGGGTAACGTTGAAATAAAAGTACAAGGATATAAAAAATACAAAGAATTATGAATAGCACTTAAAATAAAAAGAAACTGCCATTATTTACATGATAACTCCTTTTAAAAGTGCCATTAAACCCCATGTTACCTAGTAGAACCCCATGTTACCTAAACTACCGTTTCTTACCGCCGGAAACCCCCTGAATACCGTGACGAGTTCCCGGTGGCGGCCCGCAGCGTCTAATAGAAATAAACACCATGGTCCATTTTATGCGCTGGTTGAACAACACGTACAGCGTGGTATATTTACACAACAAACATGTCTTGAATGACTATTACCTTTTCTGGTCAATTGATCACTTCGGTTGTTTAATTAGTGGTCATTTCGAAGTGCTTTCAACTATTGTTCGACCGGTCTTCTGAATGGAGGGCAACATTGTACATAAGGCCCGGGTAAACCATTATCAACTGGTCTGGAACGTTTAGTACTTCAGATTTACAATAATGAAACCTTTATGAAAATCTTAGAAACAAATTTTAAAGCAACAGATGCCAGCCAATATTGAAAAGCTATCAAGAGTTGATAAAAACTGTTGATGTACAGTAAAAATTATTTATATTCCACATGCCATATCTAACCTGCTGTAAAAATACTCAAAAAAGACTAGTTTTAAACGGATGGCATTTAAAATATCGGCCGCTTTTGACCCTCAAGCACTTTTAACTTTTAAAAATCGGCTTTGTTTCTATCCGATCAGAACTTTTGACACGATTTATTAAAGCGAAATTTTTAAAATTCCAATTAAAAAAGACAAATTTTCAGCTTTAAGGTTACTAAAAAGGTCATTTATGAACCAAAACTTTATTTTTTAACCAGTTGAAAGTTGCAATAAGAATGGCAATCAAATTTTTCCACTAACTTCACCTATAGAAGAAGAACTAACCCGTTGAGCCAAGTCTCACATTGTTTTGCGCGCGAACAAAATTTTGTTTTTTCTGAAATTTTTTCGTGATTTTTGAAGAAATTTTGGTATAAATACTTCATTTTTCGTTAATTCTGCCTTATGTAGATGCCATTTGACTTGGCCGAAGCCTTGAAGAACAAGAAAAATGGTCTGAAGAGTGTTACAACTAAAGTTATATCGATAGATGGAGTTGAAAGTGAAGAAAAACGAGCTGAAAACGGCGAATTTGCCGTAGTTTGTGACAAAAGTGATTCCGAAGATGGTCAGGAGCAGGGTAACTGTCAATTTCTTATATTTTTACGTTTTTAGAACTGGGTGTTTCTAAACGAAGGATGAAAAAGGTGGAACGTGCCAAGAAAATGGGTTTTGTTATTGATCTGAAGCCGGATCTACAGGTCGCCAAGGCTTGTGAAGGCGTGTATTTGAGGTAGAGTGATGTTACTTGAATAGCTGGACTTGTCGTTACTTTTGATAGTTAGATTATATTGTTAGTTTAAGTTGGTAAGAGACTATTTTGATGTTTTTAGTAGCCAGGACGTAGCTGCCGACTTCCAACTTCTGAAACAGCACAATATAAAGGCAATTGTGAATGCAGCTGCAGGAGTGGGGAACCTTTATCCGAAAAACTTTAATTATCTAAAAGTGGACTTACTAGACCTACCTGAAACTGATATCTTGTCTGAATTGCCTGATATCTTAAGTTTTATGCATGAAAATGCTACTTCTGGTCAATATGTTCTTGTCCATTGTAATGCCGGAGTGTCTAGAGCAGGGACTATTGTGTTAGCATATCTAATCAAGTATCAGAAAATGTCTTTCACTCAAGCTTTTGACGGTTTGAAAGTTGTCAGGCCAGCCTTACAGCCAAATGCTGGATTCTTGAAGCAACTTGTTGAGTTTGATAGGGTTTGTAATGAGCATTAATTGAATTAATGGAGCATTATGTTGTCAGGACTGTCATTGTTTATTAGATTTGAGTTTAATAAAGTTTTGAGCGACTATATTTTGAATTTTGGGCTGGAGTTGGTAGTCTTACCTTTAATATTGCGATATGCTACCATTTAACATGCTTGCTAACTGTTTACGCGTGTATTAACATATGCGAATGTAATAATGATTGCAATTTCTAATAGATGCTTGTTGCAGTTTATGATAAGCGAGTATAGCATCACTAACATCTCGTGCGACTCATACACAACTGATAAGCGTCCGTTTGTTCAGAACGATAACTCTGAATTACCTGTAGTCAGAGTCTTTGGTATAACTGGTACCGGTAAGTCTTTGCATGTTGTTTTTAAGGTTTTAGGTAATTACTGGTAAAATATCGTTGTAAAAATTGTTTATGAGGATGAAAATGTAGTAAAAGTATACAAGCTTAAAACAATTGTGAACTAGAGGTTAACTATATGTCTATTAACTTCTAAAAATAATATTTTAGGTGAAAAATGTTGTGCTCATATCCACGGCACTTCCCCATGCATCTGGATGCGGACGAATTGCCGACTGAGCTCGTCCCAAAAACTTCAGCTCTCTCAAACCCTGTCCCAACGCCTCCGGCAAGCGGGAATGGCAATACCAACGGACCCAATCACTGAAATATCCGAATTTAATGCAAGGTAACATCCAAAACTGTAGTAACTCGAAAAAAGTTTCAATATTATATTTTGTAAAAAGTTTTATTTCAATTTAGCAGTTTAGTATCAACTTTTTGTATTTTCTATTGTAAGATAACTTAATATTGTAGTTTTTTAATGCAATAAACTTATAAAGTTAAACTATTGTGTTACTATATTAATTACTATAACTAATATTCTTGTTATTAAGATCGATTTACGGGTATTATGAGAATAAATGTTACTTCGTCCGCATTTCCTTTCGCCATATCAAATACGTCAAGATGTATGTGTTTCTTTTTTGGTTTTTATCATATATAAATATTTAAGAGTAATATATAAAGCCAGCACTTTGCAGAATCACCAAACTGCTTCAAGATGAAGCCATTAACGATTCTAACTTTCAACCTTACTTATCTCACATTCCTTTTATTTTACAATTTTTCATCGAGTATTCTATCTTTGGCATGGGCATGATAAAGTTCAAAAAAGTATTGTTCAGAAAGCCACCATCTTCAGCTACAACCCTTCAAGTGTAAGTTCACTAACTTTAGCTATATGATTTAACTTTTACCGACTTTAGCTATTATATATGGTTTAATATGTTGTAGATGAATTTTGAATTACACTAAATACAGAAATGTCTTGTCAACTATTCATAAGATTGATTTGTAACCCTGTACTGCAATATTAATGTTTACCATCTAAAGTCATCAATTACAGTTCACCTCTGCCGCCGGTAACCAACGTTGCGGTGGAATTCGACGCTCATGTAGATGACATTTTGAACCCGATAGAAGAAGAAAAGTCTGATTATGTCAACAGTGGGCTTCAGTACATTTGGGAAGATGAAAAAACCAGAAGGAAACACATGAAAATACCATCATTTATACCCCCAAAAGATACTGAAAGAAATGTGACGGTAACAGAAGCAGAAAAGGAGAATCTTCTGAAGCTACGGAGGAAGTTGGCCAGCACCAGTAAGAATGTCACACCATCGCAGCAGCTTTTGAATTCGACGATATTTGATGGAGATTTGGGAAGTCAAAGTAAGAATCATAATACAAACAAATTACTTTGAAACTGTATTCGCTATAGCGCATTTAAAATCTCATCTTTATATATATGATGTAGACTTACTCATGCACTGCAGAGTGATTAAATTTAAAGTTTTTTCAATTCCAGATGGCAATAACGATACAACAGCCTTAAATCTTGACAGCGAACCAGAAGATGACGATTCTCTTGGTGGATCAAGTGAAGTAAGTTGTCGTTCTAACAAATAAGATGGCTTGATTTAGAATGAAGGACTGTCAGACATGGAGCAACGTTTTTCATCTTCAGATGAAGAAATGGAAGGGAATGTTGAGATTGTAAGACCTCAGAATTTGGATGATTTTCAACATTCTGGCTGGTAAGGAACTAGTCATAGGGATTCTTTGGTTAAAGTGGATTTGTAAGGGCTCGGGACTATGTTTTAAGCATAAAGGGGTCTAGGCAAAGGTAGAGACATGAAAAATGCAAATTTTGGCTTGGAATTGGTTTTATCTTATTTTTAGGGATCTGCCAGTTTTCAAACCGAAGAGACATGATTTGAGTGAGAAGTATCCTGAGAAACTGAAGCGAGATGCGGCTAAACGTGCTAAGGATAGAAAGAAGCAAGATGGAACAGAATCAACATCTCAAGGGAGTTCAAAAGAAAAAACCTTTAGATACTGTGCCAATCTCAATGATGTAATTTTACTGTTGTTTGTGTTATAAACTGTCTTTAATTAGATATTCTACAATTTTAACTAACTATTCTACAAATGCATTTGCAAATGTATCTTGTTTTACTTGTTTATTATACACATATTTTTAGGTAACAATCCATTCCCGACTAATAAAACGAAAAAGAAAGAGCGTATCACCAATCAAACCACTCAAACGAATACCATCTCTGTCTACAGTAAACAGTCTTTGTGTCATGTCCATTGAATTAGTGATAGATCCGGTCTCAAAAGCAAGAGTACCAAACCCATCTTCAGACCCTATAATGGCAATATCGTGTGCAATATGTACTGACATTTGTAATTGGAGTGGAAGAAGACCTTTTAGTTTTGTCAAGTCAATTGTGGTTGCAGGAGGCTTAGCTTATCGTAAAAATGAGGGAGTTCAATTGGTCAGCTGTGAAATGGAGATGCTACAAGTTTTTTGTGGTATCGTGCAAAAGTGAGTAGTACTAACAAGTCTTGGTTTCACCAGCTTGGTGTTTTAGAGGGTTGTCATGGTTTTTTATTAAACATTTTGTTTTTATTACATATTTTGGAATAATATCTAAATATTAATTGTTATTTATATAATAGTTTGAACAAGGTTATGTATAACGGGTAGTGTTTTTAGGTATGACCCGGATATTATGATTGGTTATGATTTGCATCGTGAATCATGGACTTATTTGGCTAAACGAGCCGAATTCATCAAGTATCCTTTATGCTCTTTGATCTCCAGACTTAAAGGTACATTTTTAAAACTTGAAATTACATGTTTCAGCTCTAAAACCGATATTTTTAGACTAAAAAACAATCGATTTTGATTAAGAATCTACTAGACATTGTTTTTGAATACTTTTCTTACTTTAAACATATTTTTTAAGCCACATCGATGTTTGACAAAATGAACAACTCGATAGACAAAGGCAGAATTATGTTGGAAGTGTGGAGAATAGTAAGAAGGGATCATCCTCTACGATCCTACAGTTATTCGTATGTTGTTAGTGAAGTACTTGATGTGCCTGTGATGGAGATTGGTCATGAACAGTTTACAGATTTGGCGGATTCTGAGGATTCGGATTCTAGGTAAGGGCTTCATATTGCTTTCACTTCTAAAAGGTTTTAAGTAGTTTCTTGTTTAATAAAAGCAGTCTTTTTAAGGAATTAGGTACTGTAATACGTTGATAATGCTTTTACATGTTGTTTAATCAACTATTAAACTTATGATAAATAGTAAAACGGAGTGTTTTTTATGTTGAATGACTTTATTTTAGGCTATTACTGGTCGAATTAGCATTGAAGAAGGCCAAATACAACATTCGGATACTGGAAGAACTGGATATATTTGTAAAAACATGTCAGATGGCCCGAGTATACGGTATTCAATTCAGCGAAGTCTTAACCAGAGGTTCTCAGTTCAGGGTCGAGTCAATGCTGTTAAGATTGGCAAAGAAACGAGCCATGATTCCACCAGCTGTCGGGGTCAAACAACGTGCTCTGTAGGTATTTTGGAACTGTTTAATGTTATGTAATAGTACAGTATAGATGAGTCAGACTAAGTATCCAAGCCTGGTCACCGCTCAACGAGTGATACATGGCAGGACTGTAGCAACTGGCTAGATCAGCGACTAATGCTACAGAGTACTATGGTTTTGATTCGAAACATAAAGTTAAAGTAATGTAAAATTTCAGTATGGGATCTCCAGAGACGATACCTTTGAACCTAGAACCAGAATCCGGAATCTATCGTGATCCAGTAGTTGTGCTCGACTTTCAAAGCCTGTATCCATCAGTTTGTATCGCCTACAATTACTGTTTCTCTACTTGTTTGGGAAAGATGAGTCGTCTACTACAAGATCATGAACAGGATATAAAGTTGGGCGCGTTACGGTACACGACCTTGGAACCAGAAGCCATGTACAAGCTGTTGAAGAGGGATCAGATCCACATTTCTCCGACGGGCGGAGTTTTTGTGAAAGAGATTGTGAGGAAGAGTATATTGGCAGAGATGTTGATGGAGCTGCTAGATACGAGAGTTATGGTCAAGGATTCTATGAAGAAGTACAGTGGTGACTATGTAGGTTGTTTATGGTGGTGTTGAAAGGGTTTCTTTTGTTGGGGCGGGGAGGTTCTTGGGAGGAGGGTTGACAAGAAATGTTGATGTCTTTGGTTTGCTGTGATGACATTGCTTATGCAGTTTTCGATGACATTGCTTACTGTTACATTTTCAGATTTTGAAAAGAACTCTAGATGCTCAACAGCTGGCTTTGAAGCTGGTAGCCAATGTTACCTACGGCTACACGGCCGCCAATTGGAGTGGGCGAATGCCTTGTGAAGAAGTAGCAGATGCCATTGTTTCCAAAGGTCGAGAAGCTCTAGAGCGAGTGATTCAGATGATAAAGGACAACTCACAGCGTTATCATGGTGCAAGAGTTATATATGGGGATACTGATAGTGTTTTCGTCTTGTTTGAAGGTAAAACTGTGGGGATTTGGGGGTCTTTTGTACAGTAACGGTAATTTGACTGCATCATATTAGTATTTTGAAGTTTTTTTTGTCACGAAATTGCTATGTTGGTTTTACTGGGGCTCAGTATATTGCGAAAGTATTATAGCTGTATTGTTGTAGGTTGCACGAAGAAAGAAGCATTCAAGTTGGGGAATCTGATTGCCGATGACGCTACACAAGGGAATCCAAAGCCAATGAAACTAAAATTTGAAAAGGTGATGCAACCTTGTGTGTTGGTCACAAAGAAACGGTATGTTGGCATGTCATACGAGAAAGAAGGATGTCCTGGGGAGTTTGACGCCAAAGGCATCGAAACTGTTAGAAGAGATGGATCGGTTTTTGTTTCGCAGGTAAGTATTGAAAAGTAATTGGATGAATAAGCGAAGAAAATGCACAGTTTATTATTAGAAACTAGCTAAACTTAAACCTCAAACACGGTCAGAAAGTCTTTAGAATTAGGTTCTAGGTGATTGTAGATGATAGTTTATATATTTCAAGTGTAAAGTAATGCCATTTTTACGTTCAGATGGTCGAAAAATGTTTGAATATACTGTTCGATTACGATCACTACGCCGTAATTCAATACCTGCGTACGAACCTTTCTCATCCTCAAAAATATCCACTATCCGACTTCATCATCAACGCGGAATACCGTGGAGAATATTCAGAGAGAGCTCAGGTTCCAGCAAAGAAATTGGCAGCGTAAGAGTTTTATAAGAAGAATAAAAACAATGTATTAGTTTGTTCAAATAGTCCTGTGCCCTCTAATCCCTAAATTTGCTTTGAACTGGGGCATTATTTGAACAACCTAATAGATCAATGTTTTCAGTGAAAGAAAAGCGATTTGCGAACGGTTTGAACCAGTACGAGGAGAACGACTATCTTTTGTTATAGTACGACCAGAAGCTCACGTCAAGAAGAACCTGATCGACTGTGTGGTCAGTTGGGAGGACTTCCAGAACAATTCTTCACTTCAACTTCACTACAACTACTACATTGGCAAACATCTGATGGCAGCCATGAAACGATTCTTCGATTTGGTACCATGTCGGCTACGATACCATGCTCTACACTTTGATCATTGTCCAGGGTAGGTTTGTTTGAGTAATAAACACATATTATATGCTGTAACATTATATGTCTATTATACGTTGTTTTCATTGTTATCAACACAATATTTCATAAAACTCTCTTCAGATGTGGCAAAAACGGAAAATCCGACGAATATTGTGATGACTGTTGCTCCAATCCCCACAAACTTCGCATCATCCTCACAAAGAACATGTTATACGAAAGAAAACTAGCCAAAGCTTTTGAATCGTGCAATAATTGTGTGAACATTGAAGCGTTATCCCTAAACTTTCAAAATTTACATTGTTATAACAGCAATTGTGGCACTAACAACACCAAGCTCAAGGTACTGCGCGAGTTCCAGACACGAAAGCAAATTGACAACACATTCGACGAGGATGTCGCTTTCTCAACATTATAAATTAATACTTTTACTTTATTTTTAACGATGTTTTTCGGTTTTAACTTGTTTTTTATTATCTTTAACGTCTTTTTATACTAACGTGTTACTAACTTGTACATTATACTCTCTTTATCTGTGAAGAACGACATTTTTCTAACTGCCTTTGTATAAAAATTGACGTATCATTTGTAACATATCACCTTTATATTAACTTAAGTTCAGATAAAAAAAAATCTATGTGAAACTAGATATTTTATAATTTATAAAGAGCCAGTAACATTTTTTATAATGTTTTAGTAAATATCGACAATTTTTAGGGCTACAAGGATGAGTTTAGGATACCAAAGGCAATAAAGAACTGCAAAGAAACAAAAGTACCATTTTAATAAGATACATCGGCCGATGATCTTACCCATTCCCAAATATTAACGATGACAAAGAAGTTTGATCGAGTTTATTGTCCAATAAATTACAATATTAATGATACGCGGACACGGTGAATGTAAGGATACACAACTGTGAGATGGGAGAATGAAAAGTTGTGTTAAGAAATTAGTAAAGCAGATTGATTCTGACCTACTGTCAAACAACATCAGTAGCAGAAATGATCGATCGATTATAGCCCAATAATATTAATAGTAAGTTAAAGACTTAAGAAATGACTGTAAGTTTGTAAAAATGTTAGGTAGAAGAATGAAAGACTGCAAAAGGTAGGACAAAAGAAACGAGAATAAGTAAACCGGTCAATCCTTTTAATTTAAACTAACGAATCAACCAGTCTACCTAATGTTCTCTCGCCTCTCAATCCATGAGTTCAGAGTTATACCCGAGAAGCACTCTTAACCTTAACTAAGTAGACATTCACAGTAAGGAGCATACGATATGCAGTTATAATAAAGAAGAGCAGGTTATAGTAAATAACATAAGATCAGGTACCCTGCCGAACATTAAAATACAAATTAGGATTCGGACTTCTGTCAACCTGATTGGCAAGGTTTCCGCTGCTGACAGCTTCGAGACGTCCATTAGGAACCCTACGACCAGCTTCACGTCTATGACCTGCAGCGTCGACCTGAGGAAGGACGTCGAGGAGTACCTGTGGTGTCACTCTTCTGTCCCTAGACCCACAAAGCAAGAACAGCAGCGCCACTTTGCCGCCAAAGAATTCCGTGAATTCGGCAAACGTTTTCAGGAACTCCCTTTGGACTTCATCGCTCGGATTACCTTGTCTTCTGATGTCGGGATTAATACCTAAAATAAGTAAAACATTTACAAACATTGTTACCAAAACTTTTAGGACATTAACATATTTAAAAGTGTTTTTAAAACGCCAATTTCTAATGCTTTACTAGACAAAACAACAGCCAGTTCCTTCCTATATTCATTTTTAATCAAAAACAATATAAATTTCAGTCATGCTGAACCTTAAGACACCTACTTTCTTAACGTTACAAGCTAAAACAATAATACAAAACCCACCCGGTCCTGTAAATAGAATGTAACCCTCAAAATCTGGCCGATACTTCATGAATCTCTTCATGTTGTGGATGGTACTCTCAAATCGTTCGTCGGTTGATCCATTATAATCATGGTCAAAGGTGATAACCCTGGAAATCTTCTCGTAAGCCTTCATCTGTGCTACAAACTGACACTTGCAACCTTGAGGGTTGTTGAAAATGCAGCTGGATGGTTTGTTTTCCTTGCGCTGAACTATGATATAGAAGATTTCTCTGCTGAGCCGTACCTCTGAAACAAATTAAATAATTTAAACTAGAGAATATTAACTTCTAAAGAGAATATTATAATAAAATTGGATCTAAAGTCTAAAAAAACAAAAACAACAAAAACTGTCAGTTCTATCAAAAGAAACCATTTATCCTTCCTTTTTGAACTAAACTACAATATTTACAAACATGTATAAACCCAAGATAGTTCTAGCACAACAAACACAAAACTAAAACATACCCGCTCCTTCTGTAGCTCCATCTGTCATAAAGGAAAGTTTATATTCCTCAACAAGCTGAAACGAAGAAACTTATAAAAAACAACATAAAAATGTAAATTTAATTAACTATAATGTATTAACCAAAAGTTTGCAAGACATGGCGTCCAAAAGAAGCTTCACAAAGCCCGACAACTTTAAAAAAATCTTTAAAATTTTCATTTTCAACCAAGAACCAAGTTTAATAGATCTAAAAACTGTAAAGATAAGATTCAAAAACAAACTTACATCCTCTGCCTTACGAAAGCATCGTCCCTTTAATTTGAAGCACATGTTGTCCCCAGTAGCCAGAAAATTAGAAAATCGCGAGCAATTTTGGTCGAAAAAGTTCAGCAGATGCATGAGAAAGTAAAAAGTCAGCGGATCTGCGCAACCTCGGGCGCAGCTTTCTAAAAAGATACAGCGCAGCCTGCGTTAGACAACTTCCCCATTACAACTTTTAGAAAATTAGTCGTTTCAATAAGTTTAATTTTGTAAAAACTAAATTTACAAAACGAACTAGGGAATTTACTAGGAGAACAGAAGTTTCCCTAGAACAAACGTTACCAAGCGAGTTGGCAGAAAGAAGCGATCAAGCAACGCGTCACAAAATGGCAATACATCGCCATAGCTAATCCCAAAAAATCAGAGCAAAGCAGTCTCTAAAAGCAAACCTTATTAATAAGGGTTTATTGTCCAAAACATATTAATATATAGTAAATAGACAAACCAATATGATCAGTGAGTAGAATAAGGATAAACTTATCCATTTATTTAAGTTTACATCACCCTACAGTTAAGTAAATAGATATATATATACTATATGATTTTTTAAAATAACAGTACACTTTTAGGTAATAAAAACCACATTATGACAATTATTTTTATCGAAACTAGTTTTATACCAATCCTGTCATGTACCATTAGATTACATTAAAGATCAGTAATAGTTTATTCTCCAAAAGGTATAATTAATCTCAATATGTACTAAATTGTAATACCTTGCAGGCAAAACGGCTACGCTTGTAATATATAATAGGTTGAGACATGATAACAAATAGTTAAAAATGGAAAATATGTCAAAAAACGATAAAAACCAGACTTGAGGTATCATTAAAATATTCGAGACATAATATTAACAGTGCAAACAACAACAATATTGTACTTACTGCTAAGAAATCACAATTTAACACTAAACTTAACAATATCAACAAACTGAACTTGGTTCATCCTCACCGACCCCTTCATTGTAATTTCGCACAGTACCATGATGAGAAGGTTGGGGTTGATCTACTACGGGTATATTATATTCACGAAGTAATTTTAAACATGGTGGAACGGTAAACTTGCGTGCCTCAACAGGTACCAAATGTTCACGTTATGTTGAAACTTTTCTTTAACTTTGGCAAAAAGTTCATTAAATCTTTCTGCCGTATCATCCTCAACTTTGTTTGTCGTTTCAAGAGATATGTAGTCGCCTAAAATCGTTAATTATGTTCAAAGTAATTGAATATGGTTAGAATATACAAAGTAACATTGTTAACAAAGCCAAGTGGAAAGCGTTGAGTACCAAAAAAACGTTTTTTAATTTGAGGGTCTTTTAAATTACAAAAAAAATTGAAAAATCCCGATACCTTTAGCCAAAAAATGTTTACCTTCTCCCTAAAAGACCAAAACCATCAGCCCAACCCTCCCCGATTTTTAAAACCCAAAACATTTCTTTTTTTCAATTCGCACACTATAGCTTACCCATGCTGTAGAGCAGAACAATTCCACAAAAATCTTTGCAGTCATCAGCCTCGTGTAGATATTGCAATACTTCGTTCACATAGGTTACCTGGTCGTTTACCTGATGTTTTTCGACAAGATCAAAGAAGACGACAGGCGCTCCACGGTCAGCACAATGTCGTATGAATTCACAAAACATTGACACGTCATAACCAGATATGTTGAACAAATGATCGGTGCATACATCTGGTTTGTTTACATCTGGCATAAGTTGCTGAATGTACTTGAAGACAGGATCATCGTCTTCTGAAAAGAAAAAATTACTTCTGGCAAAAAAAATGTTACATAACAAGTAGACAATCTTCTATCTCTTCTTGGTAAGTACATAATAAGCTTGATTGGATTAATACTGCTAACAATCACCTAAAACAAAGACAAAAAATGAGAAAACTTACTTGGACGAGGTTCTTTCGGAGATTTTTGTACTTTCCTTTGCGAAAAATAGTCAGCGATTGTCGGTGGAGGCCGTGGCGTTGGACTGTCCATATCATGGAGGCCCTGAAATTACAACTGCTTGTAATGAGACTGTGAAGTTTTTTTTTTAAATTGTGCAGTTACCTAATACAGTTATCACCCCGCCCCAAACCAAAAAACGTCAGCCACTGCTTGCTTACACCGATAATACAAATGAATTTGCATTATAATATAACATATCTATAATATTACAATGGGTTTAATTATATTACACCTCTAAAACGAAAATAATTTGCAAAATAATTTTAATAAAAGTAAAACCAACCGCCTCGTCCTCAGGTGCACTAGCTAAACAGCTACACAACACCATCAGAACAGAATGCTTCTTCTATTTAGTAGATCAGAAGGTAAACTATGTTTTCAGAAAGCAATGTCAAGATAAATAGACTGGTTCAAAGCTTCGCAACACAGTGAAACTTAATGTAAATTGTGTCAAACTCAAGAAAATTAGAGAAAAAGTCTTGAGGAATCAAGGAAATCGTTTAACATCCTCTAGCATTCATAAGAACTGTTTGGCCATAGCTCTGGGAAACAAAATAATCAGTGATTTGAGGAAAGCAGGGCGCAGTCGTCCTTTTCAGATTCTGCAGACTTCAATAACATACTATTTTGCTATTTTTATCAGTCAATATTGTATTTCTTGTTAGTTAAAGCAAAATTTTACGTGTTCTTATGTACGGTTAAGTCGTCTGTTACACGTTATATCGTTATAAAGCTAAAGTTTAAGCTTTCTATGTTTTAGGTATGTTCAAGAAGATGGACCTTGTGAAAAGGTTAAAAATTTTTCCCATTTGTTGGTGGAACAATAACATGCTATTCATGTATCGAGTTTACGTATGTTAAATTATTTTTAATGTATTTTGTTATCTAAATATTTTTATTATATCTTTTTGAAACGCGCTCGCGTATAAAATGGAAGCGCAGGCTGCAAGATTTTGCGGGCCGAATAATTTCGAAAATAATTTATTTTATATTTTTTTTAGTTTTGTAGGAAATAATTTTGGGTAGAAGATTGAATAAATAAGAATAAGTAGTCTCTGAGTTGATCAGTTATTTATTTATTTTAAAATTACCTTGTAATGAAATATCAAGGTTAAATATTTATAATATCTAAATCAATGTTTATTTCAGTTCGACATGAATTTCGAGTATCTAAAGGGCCGAGCATCAAGACTCCAATTTGACGGAGAAAAAAGAGATAAGGAACGGCCCGGAAGGAAGGACGCGTTTCTTATTTCTAGGTGGGAACCGAAGAGAAGTTGGAAGGTGGACGAGGAGGCAACTCCACCGACTTCAAGTCAACCAGTGGCTGTTGGGAGGAAGGTCCAGATCCACAAGACGTCGAAAGCACCTGAAGTTAGTGTTCTGGATACAAGCTCAGTTGATTCTGGTTTTACCTTTGGGTCTGTTTTGAGTCAGCCCAAATTTCCCACTTCTTTTTCGGTTAACCCTAACACCTATTTGTCGTCAAGAAGTTCGGCGTTGAATGTAAAAGGGCAGGCTTTCAATGAGCCGAAGTTGAGCGATTTTCAAATCAAAGTTGGGACGAGAACGTTTTATGTAAGTTTTATTAGTAAATTTGATTTTATTTATTCTGAATTCGATATTATTTGAGGTATTGAAGGCATAAATGATGTATTTTAAAGTGTTTTAATGTTATTATGTAAATTTGCTTTTTAAAGTTAAAAACAATGTTATTTTAAATATTACTTTATCTTTTAACTTTATTTTATACTTAAAATCTTAAACTTTCTTTCCAATCTATTAAATATCAAAATCTTTCTTTATTTAGGTATCAAAAATGGTGTTGGCCGCAAACTCCAAAGTATTTCATCGTATGTTTATGACGGATTGTAACGAAGTGGATGCCGGCTTTATGGTTATGCAGGATTGTGAGCCGGCGGCTGTCGAAGCCATGTTGTTTTACATGTTTGAGAAGAAGTCGGTTGATGAAGATCTGGCTCGAGACGTAATGCTGCTGGCCGACAAGTATCAGATGAGTGAATTGAAAGATCAATGTGAGATCAAACTGGGGAGCACATTGAAGTTGGACAATCTTGAGGACAGAATTTCTTTGGCTTACAATTTGAGGGCGAGTAACTTGTTGAAGAAGTGCTTCAAGTTTGGGGCAGATCAATTTGACTCGTTTTGAGGGTGGATATTGTTATTGTTTTGGTTGGGCATTCTAGTTTTTTATGGAACTTTGGACTTTCGTCGTATGTTGATAATGATAACATGGTTATTTGTTGAAATTTAAACCTTTGGTAAGTTGTTTTGTATTTTACATTTTTTGATTTCTCACTGTCTTTGTTTTAATATAATATTTTTGAAATAAATGTTATAATAATGCAATCGTCGGCTATTTCAATGTTACATTGCAATTCCAATATCTTTTACATGTTTTCGAGTTATTTTGGTAAAGTTTTGACCATCATAGTTAATGAAAATGTAATATAGTGGATCTGCTTACTGGAAATAGAGTTGTTTTGGCGCTAGTTTATATTGAGAATAATGTTCAAAAGCCGTTCTATCACCCTAATGTGTCATTAAATTTATAAAAAATACCGCAAGACTACCGTAATTTTATTTATTATGGCTAGGATAACGAATTATTATTAAATTTACAAATTAAAAGCCCTCAGGGTGTTGTTGTGTTTTTCGGCGATAATCTCCGTTGGCGTAGAGTTTACCGTCATTCCCAATCACAATACCTTGTGCGATGCCTTCGAAGCCTACGGTAGGTTTGAACTTTTGGCCAAATTTTTGTTCGAGATCTTGGATCAGCTCCTAAAATACGTTTTTCAGTCCAAATAATAAGGTCTGGTTTTGTAAAATAAGTAGAGTATAGCATTTGATTAACATCATTTTTAAGGTAATACCATAGATGTTATACTTTAAAATTGTTATGTTATGCTTTAAATTTTCATTTTATAGTTGTTAAACTTACTTTGGGTACAGTTTCTTCGTACTGTGTGATGTCGGGAGTGTACTGATTGTGCAGCGTTGGAGCGTCAATAGCTTCTTTGATGGTTTCGTTGAAGCACAAAACCCGGATTACTGGTTTAGCGACAGCAGATATGATTTTAGAACCACCGGAAGCTCCGATGACCATTTTTACATCCAAGGTCTCTTCATCGTATATGACCATGGGTGACATTGAGGACATTGGACGTTTGCCTGGTTTAATAAAGTTTTCCGGCGATGGTGCGAATCTATAATGAAGGTATGACATTTCTTGGTTTTTAGGTTACTTTTAGCTTTAGAAGGCAGAAAATTACTGAAAACAAGTCAAATTGGCATATGGAAAATTAAAGTACGACTTCTTACCCAAAGCCATTGTCCTGTCCAGGCGTGCTGAAGTCGTCCATCTCATCGTTCCAAACGATTCCAAGCGATGGAGATTGAATCCCAGCTCCGAACCATCTGTTCACGGTTGATGTTGCAGCTACACCGTTACCGTACTGATCCAATACACTAACGTGCGACGTGCCGTGGTCTTCTTTCTAAAATATGCGATTACTATGAAACTAGAGCAAGCTTATTATGGGAAACATCTTGTCATAGACCCCAAGGTTTTTGTCTTGCTAACTCTATTTCCATTTAAAAACGCAGTAAAAATGAAATACCCGTTATAGTCAACACCAAAAGTAAGTCCTTTACTAATTCTTTTAACAGGATTCATCTGTCAATCTACTTTACTCACCTGTGCCGTGTCATTCTGACCATAAAACGAGGTGTTTTGAGCTGCATAAGGTAGGATATCAGCGATCCACCTATTATACTCAGCTGTCGTCATGTTCTCAGCCAACTTCTTGGATCCCTCTTCAAAGTCCACATCTCCCATCAATGTTCTTTTCGCGTAGGCAAACTTCTCGGCTTCAATTAAGGCGTGGTAGAAGTAGGTATCGGATAAATGTCCGTCGACTGGTCGGCCGTCACCGGAATAGTTGTAGAACTTGGAAGTCATGACCGATATGATGTTTTGGGTAATGGCAAATGAGGACGGTGGTGGAGGTCCACACATGGTCAAGTTTTCGTAGAATTTAGATCTGATTAGGGGGGTTTCGTACAGTTTTGGACGATAGTTTTTGAGGTCTTCTTTGGTCAGGATACCGCCTGGAATAAGGTTTTAGGTAATGGTATATAACTTTATTTTTAAGGGTTTACAGCAGAGTATTCATAGCCATACGTTTTTTGCTCTCTAAGGTTACTAAATATTGTTATTCAGCTTGTTATAAAATCTTACCGGCTTCTTGGACTTCTCTTACAATAGCATCTGCCATGACACCTTCATAGAACAACTTAATTGGGTCTTCTGAAGCTGCAATCTTTTCCAATGTGTCAGCTAACTTTGTTCTTTTCAGTACATCTCCGAACTTCCATACGCGGCCAGTCTCAGGGTTGATCCAGTCACTAAAATGGTCACAAGTACTGTATTAGCAATTGTAAAACTTACTCCATGTTAGGTGTAGTCAAATTAAAGTGCCATTCTTTCTTTTCCAGTACATACGATAGGTACTCCGAGACTGGAACACCATTTCTGGCCAAATCAATAGATGGCTGGATCAGTTCCCTCCATGAAATTTGGCCACTGCCCCAGTTTTCCCAAGCGAACCTGTAGCCGTATAGTTCTCCAGGCGTAGCGATGGCTTCCCATCCGTACTTTGAGTTGTTAGAGTTCTTCACAAACATGTCTTCAGTCGCTTTGCCTGGGGCTGTTTCACGAGCGTCTAAAGCCAAGCAACGGCCAAGGGTTCTGAAATTAATATTCTTGATGACTTTTTGAATTACTGATCCTAAACTATGTTTCTGGTTTTTAAAAGGGTCTAAACAGATAAATTAACCGCTCTTTTTACACTTTTTTGCGGGTATAAGTATACCCAACCTACCTATTGTAAAAGGTCATGATGAAGCCGCCTCCAAGTCCGGAGCTTTGTGGATTCGTAATACCAAGACAGAACATGGAAGCTATCGAAGAATCAATAGCATTGCCACCCTTTATCAATATATCACGTCCGATTTCGTTACAAAAGCCATGATCACAAGTTACGGCCGCTTTTTCAAACTTTCCTAATAAAGAATTGGCAGGTAATGGCCAATCATACCTATGTTTTGCGTTGTCTGGCCACTGGAAGTGAAAGATATGATAATAGGTGATAAACAAAAAGTTATAATAGCAGCTGTATAAAAACAAATTTATGATAGTAGGTAATAAGAACAGAGGTATGAAGCTATTAAAGATCAAGAATAGGCGATGGTAGTAGGGTTGATATATGTATTGGGGTATAAGGGGGGATAAGAATAAAAAACGATTTTCTAAAAAAATCATTTTCTAGATTCACCTAGTCACATACTGGTTTACCAATACGATATACCACTGATAACGCAACTTACTATAGTTTTAGGTATAGGATGTGAGTCCGAGAACATGGACATACCTATCATGGTGAACAGAACTAATAGAAACGTGGCTACAAACGCCATACCGACCCCTATTCGAATAAATAACCTGAAATTAAGTTTTAAAAACACAAAATTTCGTGGTTAACAATTTTTTACAAAAAATATGGGCTATATTGTGTGTATAACAACAAAACTATACTTGTATGTACATTTCATAAACTGTACAACAACATTATAGTATACCTCCTGAGGCAATGTCGTTCTTTAGGAGGGTAGGTGTTGTGATATGACAGGTCGAGTGATGACTGTGGAGATACATTCTTTGGCGGCCAATGTGATACCATGACTTACTTGTGGAGATAAATTACAATTTATGCAGACATAGAGTTAAGATATTAACCTGTAACATTAGAAATGACATATAGATGTTTCAACCTAATGAAAAGGCAAATTATTTGGTTAACTATGATATGGTTTTATTGAAGAAAACTTATCATATTAGGTTGTTCAAATATTTCTGTGCCCCATACTATCGGAAATTTGTCTTGAAATGGGGCACATGATTATTTTAACAACCTAATAGTTGACCTCGGTATAAGAAATAGCACGTACGTACAAGGTTTCGTGAATTCGTCGTATTTTGCCCTTGCCCATTTTAGTTTACCTCCCCCTCCACATTATTGTCTCATTTGTAAAAGAAATGATTAATGTTGTACATCCCGAAAGCCGCCTTCAAACTTTTATCGCAAAGATGCGGAAACATTGTCACGATTAAAAGCGAAGGTAACCGCTTCTCATCCCCTGAATCAGTTCACGGTCGAATTAGCCCGGCTTCTTCATAAGTTACACTCCTACAGTAATTATTTTTACTTTCACAGAGTGCTTATTGTAGCTAATGAAAAGTCAAGGGGATAAGGGGGTGAATATTAGATCATTTTAGTCATGCAAGGAAAGATTTAAGCAAAAAAAAATTTTTGAAAATGACGTTGATTTGGATCTTAAAAATAAAAATTTTTGGTTAAAATCCCTTTTGAATTAAAAAATTACCCTGTTAGGGGTTTTTTTTTAAATCAAGGGCTAGTTTTTTGAATTACAATAAAGAAGAGTGTCAAACAATAAATTCTCATGATGAATATTATAATTTTACTTTGACCTACTTGCAAAAACATTAATATTTTATTGGATTTTTAGCTCAAAATCGAATGTTTCTTCCTGAAAGTCATTTTACAGCAATATCTTCGCAAAACAAATGTAAAAAATGTAAAATAACATCCAATATAAAACTTAAAAATTGACTTTAAAATCGAGATATACCAAAGAATTATTACAGCTATAAATGTTGATATAAACATGAACCATCGAGTTGATGTTAACATCCCCAAAGCTATCTATAGCCATCAATTTTCTAGCTATCTATAGATATTTAATTTCCCACCACCCTTGCTATTGTAAGTCATTAAAACCTTGTAAGTAGTCGGTAAAAATCGTTTTTTATCATCAATTAGTCTGTTTGATTCCATTTTTGTTTGTTTTATCCGCTTCCGCGCTCTAATTTGAAGCCGCGGGAACAGCGATTCTTCAATTTTTCGAAATTCAATTTAATTTTGAAACATTTGCTGCAAAAATGTTTTGACATTTGAATAAAAAATATTATTTTAAGTTCTTAAGCCTAAAAGTCTCCAAAAAATGTAAAATATAGCAGTAAATGATTACTCTGCGGTACCAAGAAGGTTACTCTAGTTAGGGCTCTAATTCTACGGTCCTATGCCTACAATTGTAAAGCCATTAGCTAAGAAAAAAGTTGCTTATAACAAAATCAAAAAGTTTTGACTAAAATCTATTATTTTTCACAAAAAAAGGCATAAAATGCCGAGTAAAGACGACTTAAGTACCTATTATGGATATTGTCATGTTACCAATACCAGTTCCAACGAAAAGGGAAAGGCGGTGAAAGTGACAGATTCAAAAAGAGGATGCGAATTTGATTACAAGTAATCCATGGTATTCTTCAGTCGCTTCCATGTATCTCCACAGCAGGTCATCACTGTAAATTGTCATAACGCGTTCGCACGGTGATTCAATAACAATATAACATAAAAATAATATTGTAAACGAAAATATCTCAGCTAAATAGTGTAAAATTTATTAAAGTAGGCTTATATTTAAAAATATTTGTAAAAAAATGACAACGTCTTGATTTATTCAACAATAATGCACTCAAACCACCTACTTACTACAAGGTACCCTGCCCCAAAAATGATAAAACGGTAAGAAATAAGAAAAAGGTATAAAACAAGTATTCAAAATCTTAAAAATTTATAAAACGTTGTTCAAACTAAAGTAATGTTTCTTTTAAAGTCAGAGCTTAAAAAATGTCTGAAGATAAGTAATACGACCGTGTAGTGGACATCCGTATACCTGTTTTTAGAAAGTGAAAAGCCCTCTCCTATCGGAGATGAGTAAAGGATAACAATCGGACGTCAACCCTCGTCCTGAATGACTTTCAGCGGTCTACAAGTATGTTTCATAGTAGGTTTTGTCATTTAAATTTAAAGAAAAAGGAAGTCATCTTATCAGTGCTGTAAAGTAATATTTACCGTTGCTGAAAGGTAAAAAAATATTTTGTAAAGCAAAACCTTATTTATATTATCTTATCCTTAGAAATTAACGGAAAAAATACAAAAACTTATCAAAGTAGAGTTATATTATAGTAGGTCAGCTCAAACAAACCATCCCGTAATTATTTACCTTTCCGCAGTAAACTTCCTTTTAATAACCAAACTGACCAAACAAGTTATTTTTTACGTGTATTTACTCAACAATAACTTAATGGGTCACTTTTACACAACAGACACTTAGGAATCGTATATCTCCGTACATGTCATCGTGGTCAGTAAATCAAAACTTTGACCAATTCTTAAATAAAAAAGAAAGTTTAATACACCTGGAGGTCTTTTCTGCCATAAATTTTTAAAGTCTAACAGTTATCAGCCCTTTTAATGATCTTTACATCAATAAAGGTCAAAAAGACCTTGAACAGCTAAAATAATATAAAAAATTACTGTTCTTTCAGCTAATTTAGCGTAAAATCAGTAGTTTTTTATCTGTAGCATAAGTAATACCATATAAAATAAGATTATGACAACTACAATTTTTAAAATGACCAAAATTGACAAGAGAAACATTTTAGGCAGCTAGGTCAAGTAACCAAATATAATATCAAAGTTTATTGGTAAACTAACCCAAATGAGCTTTAAAATTGCTAAATTGATACAAATGTAAGTTATAGTAACACGTATATGTACATATATACAAATAATGCAAAATGAGCAAACTAATTAGACTACAAATTTTAAGATGAATATAAGGTTAATAACAATTATTATACGAAAATGGTTAAATATAAGACTATGTGATTTCAATAAGTGTAGCATGTAAAGGATCTTCAGTCTGGAGGTTCTTTTTCGCCACATCCACGTAATGTTGATTGACTAGTAATCATCGTCATCATCTGGCTCCATGATTCCGTTTCGAACTATTGCGTGTCCTACGGTTAGTCCAACTGCAATCCAAATACAACCATAGGAATTGGCCCTCGAATAGCCTCTGGCTGATGGATCCAAAAACAAAGCCAAGACTTGTTGCGATCCAGCTACCATCGTTCCCATGATCAACAGCAGACCTAAATTGATATTGGTGTTGTCTCAATGCTTTATAGCTTTAAATAACAAAAAAGTTTATCAACTCATCCAAAAAACTTCAAACTTCAAGCCAAAACTACCTTTAGGTAACACTGGCAAAGATACTAGCAAAAAAGGAGTCTTTAGGTATCAACACCAGTTATTTCAGCAAAAAACTTCAACATCAAGAAATTAATACCTAAAAACCAATAAAATAACAAAAAAACTTACAATCGTAGATAGAGTTATACGGTGAAGAGATGTGACGGAAAACGTGGGCCAACATGTTCGAAAAAGCCATAAAGTAGCAGACTGGAATGTAATAGAGCACCACCATAACAAGGTAGAGCCAAGGTTTTCTTCTGAAGTTCTCAACATCGTTCAGATCAATTCCAAAAAACGACATTTTCTAATAGAAATTTGAAAAAAAAATTTACGAAATTGAACGAAATTACAAAAATATTTTTCCAATTCGGAACTAATATCTTGTTGTTCACGAAGGTTGCGTTGTCATGGGCGCAACTTGGAGATGCAAAAAAATATTTTTTGGGAATTTTTTAGTTTATGATAAATTTTATCAATGTTCTCAACGAAGTATACTTGTTTTAGTAAGTTTTTACTACAAGAAACTCAATATACTTAAAATCCAAGTCTTAGAAGTAGTATTTACGTTTATTTTCTAATGAAATCAACGTTAATATGCCTTTGAAAGGGTCGTAGTTGTGTTGTGAGATGTTTATTTTTCGCGTGTTACGTGAGTTAGTTCTTTCAGGTCTTTCTTCTTCTTTTTCTTGTTCACCTTCATGGATACCTTCGTGGACGGGTCCGTCTTCGACTCCTTTTTGTATTTCTTTGACGACAGGTTCTTGTTCTTCGACGAGGCTTCTGATACTTTCTTTTCTGGTTTTATTGGAGCATTTAGATCAGTTTCCACCGTCCTTTCTTTTTTCTCCACTGTCCTGTCCCTCCTTTCCTTTTCCATTGGGCTAACAGCATTCTTTTCTGGCTTCTTATCCTTCTCGGCTGGACTTATTGGACTGACGGGATTCTTTTCTAGCTTCTTGTCCTTCTCGGCTGGACTTATCGGGCTTATGGCATTCTTTTCTGCCTTTTCTACTGGGCTTTCCGCTTTTATCTCTACTGGACTGATAGCATTCTTTTCCGGGGACGAGTTTGCTTTCTTGTCCTTGTCAGTGATGGTTCTGACCATTTCTTCCAGAGATTGGAGCACTTCCGCGGCTGTGAAACGTTCCTTGTCTTTTGACCAGATATTCTTGTTGATGAATTCCACCATTTCTGATGGTGTGTTGTCGGGGAACGTTAGTCTGTCGCCTCTTAGAATCTAAATTTAGGGTTTTAAGAGTATTGGCTTTCAAGTTAGCTGTTTCTAATAGTTTTTGAAGACTTTTCAGCTTGAAATCTCATTGTTAGAGTAAGATCATTAACTCACCTTTTTAATAAGTTCGACTGACGTGAGGTATCCATACGGTTCTGCTCCATTTGAGAAGATCTCCCAACATAAAACTCCAAAGGACCAAACATCACATTTTTGAGTCCAGGTAGTGGTTATCAAGCTTTCAGGAGAGCACCTGAAGTTATATTTTACTTCAATTTATTGATTTTGGCAGTAAAGGGAATTTTATTTCATGTCAATACAGGGTGTAATGAAAAATCTAGTAAAGATCTAAACTTTTGCTAAAAAAAGATGGCTCACCATTTGAAAGGCAGTTTGTGATCGACTTTGATCTTGAAGGCTTCTGCTTTGATGGCTAAAGAGAACCCGGACAGCTTCAGACAATCTCCATGAACCAAGCAGTTTGTAGCCGCTATATATCGATGTAGGATTCTGTTCTTGTGTATATGATCGAGGCCACAAGCAGCATGGGTCATAAACATAATTTTCTGTCTGTTATCGACTTCAGAAGCTCTGAGACAAGTCTTTAAACCTCCATCTCCAGCGATTTCCAATGCCATCAGATAGGGACTGTAGAAAGGAGCTACAGCGTAGCACTTGAGAATGTTATTGTGGTTGAGGATGCGCATCATTCTGGCCTGAAATTGAGCGCATTCTAGTGATATTGTAGTAGGTAACAAGAGTATGATATAAAAATAACAGTTTTAATTGTAGTTAGCCGGGTATTGTTTGAAAATTAGATGCTTTTGGTCACTATTTTAATATACGATGGGATAAAAGTCAAAACTTACATTGTTCAAGAACTCTCTGACCTGTAGTTTAGCTTTTCCATCCAAGTTGATCACTTTGACAATCACATTCTGGGGCTCTTTCTTCGGCAAGTTCAATGTGCCAGAGTAGATGTCACCAAACTGACCTTCACAAATCCTGTTGTTTTGTGTTATCTCTTCGTGGTGAACTTCCCATGGTTTTATCAGTACCGGATTCAGGAGATAGGGGATGGTGGATGTCAAGATGTTGGGGTTGGTTGTTCTGATGAGAACCAGAGCTGAGATCAATTTTTCTAACGTGGGATAGGATTTCTGGGTGCCTATGAGCATTAATCCTTGATCTGATGCGTCTATCTTGAAGTTTAATATCTGGAAATCAAATTTTTTGGGAGCAATTGTCATTTTTTGTGAAGTTTCGGTCTTTTTAAATGCTTTATAACTTTGTTACCATATAACGTAACTTAATAAAAGTATCGCAATATACACATTATTTTATCTTTTATAGGCCTTAAATTGTTAAACTAGCTTACCTTTGTCAATCCACCAGCATGAGATGCCAAAACAGACAGTACCAGCTGGAACTTTTTCTCTTTTTCGTTTTCCGTGTATCTCACCAGGTAATCCCCGCTTTCTTTTAGCATTTCGGAGGTATCTTCGCGCGACAACAACCCATGATAATACGGTGCTTTCAGAGTGGCAAACTCGATCGTGTCAATGTTCTTCGGCGTCCATTCGTACACCTCCATTTGCGGCCGGTCGCGGCGTAATCGTTGAACAGAATATGGCAAAGTAATGGGTAATAGTGAGTTTTTGAAAATTTTTATGGAAAAATGTGGAAATTTGGGTTGGGGGAGGAAATTTGCATAAAAGTTTGGAAAAACTTTTGAAAAAAGTTCTTAAAATTTGCGTAAGAGTTTCATAAGTAGGTCATCAACTGAAAATACTTCAAATTTTATATCAGAATTTGCATAAATTGGTTTAAAAGATTTTTAATTTTTCAAAAAGTTTTTTTTTAGTTTCTGATACTTGTCACCATTGACAGCGGTCGGTCAGCGAAATAGTCGACTTTTCGCTAAGAATGGCACTCTTCCCTCACGCTTGGCCTCGATCTGAAGGCGATCCATTTGATAGTCAGTTGATGACCGAGGACTACTATCACGGTAAGTTGTTGTTTCTATAAAATAGGCGTTCTAATGTAGATATTCTTGTTTTATGTTGGTTTTCAAGGTTGGAAGGAAAGTCTACAACCTCAAATTGTTAAAAAGAGGTAGTTATTGTATAAATAGAATAAAGTTTTGTATTTCAGGCCTATTGCCTCGCGAAGACATAGTGGAGATGTTGGAAAAGAATGGCGACTTTCTAGTTCGTGTAAGCATCCCTGAGCCAAACCAGCCTAGACAGTTCATCCTGTCAGTAATGCAGGATGAATCTACGAAACACGAGGGTGTAAGTTTTGATAATATTTATATATTTTTCAACCTAATATAGGAGTTATAGTGTTTTTAAGTATTTAAATTTTCTAAAAATTTAAAAAAATTTTGTTTACAGATACGACACTTTTGCATCCAAGTCTCAGTAGCTGGCTTCATGCTTGAAGAAAGTCCACCATTCAACAGCATAGTGACCATGGTAAACCACTTCCTAAACTCTAAAGAGTCGATTACTAAACGCTACCCATGCTCATTGCAAAACGCTATCACTCGACGTCTCTGGCAACTCAAACACGAGTTCATACATCCAGAGAAGAAGCTAGGTGAAGGTGCATTTGGAGAGGTTCAAGCAGGTCAGGCGTTTGTCAACGGCGATATTAAGAAAGTGGCCATAAAGCTAGCTAAGATGCGGTCGATCACGAAGGAACAGATCAGGGAATTCATGATGGAAGCCCGTGTAATGAGAGGTATGAATCATCCCCATGTAGTCAAGTTCTATGGAGTTGCCGCCTTTCAGGATCCCTTGCTTCTGGTGATGGAGCTTGTAGACGAAGGGTCGCTGGATAAGATCCTGATTAAAAAGCAGCTGAACATGAAGACAAAGACTGAGTTTTGTGTTCAAGCTGCCTGGGCGATTGAGTATCTTCACTCGATTCAGTTAATGCACAGAGACATCGCGGCCAGGAACTGTCTTGTGAATGCAGGGAAGTTGAAGATCAGTGACTTTGGATTAACATCGAAGGGCACAGAGGTGGCAATGGACCCGAAGAAGAAGGTGCCAGTCAGGTGGTAAGTGATTTTACTTTAAAAATGGTTTTAAAAATTTGTAAATTTATAAAAAGCGATTTTTATATTGATAATAACAGAGTAAAATACCTTTAAAAGTTAGAAAATTAAGGTAGAGGATTTGAAATGCATCGGGAATGGCGCTAAAATATTGTTTTTGCTTTCAGGATGGCTCCAGAAGCGATGGAATCCTTTAAATACACAACTAAATGTGACGTCTGGGCTTATGGTATACTGTGCTGGGAGATTTTCAGCGACGGGCAGATGCCATATAACATGTTACCACCACAAGCGGTTGTTGAAAAGGTTTGTTAATTTGATTGCATTTTAAAAATTTTGATTTGCTTCCCAATTGAGTTTGAAAGTCAAGTCTACTCTCAGCTTTCATGATCTATCTCTTGGTTAATATCTTGTAAGATTTTTTATATTAATTTATAAGCTTAACCTCATAAATTCAGATCAAAGCCGGCTTCAAGATGGATTTCCCTCAAGGAACACCTACCTGCTTTACAAAACTTACACACGATTATATATGGCTCAAGGAGGAAAAACACCGCTTCACGATGGTGGAAGTCGTCTTATGGCTGGAGAAGGTAACGGGCATTCACAGAGCAGGTACAACAACCGAGGACAGAAGGAAACGTGGATCATTCACCAGCCCTTCCACTGCCAGTACAGTGAATTCAGATGGAAGGAGGACCCCAGAACGAGTTCATGTAGACAAGTATGCCAGGAACGAAAGACTCTCGAAACGGTCAGCCAAGTCATCGAAGAAAGTGGTTCCTCAAAAAAAGTATAACAAGAAGGCTCCTAAGATTGTCCACAAGAAAACCCACACCAATGATGATTGACACGACTGGTTGGTGCTATTTGTTGTAAATAAATAGTTGTGATGGCTTTTTAGTATAATATTGACTATTATCTGGTTGTTGGGTACATACAATATTGATTATCATTAAATTTTTTAGTTTTCTATTCTTGATCAAAGACCTACGAAGTCATCTTTAAGCAATTTTGAGTAAAACCTCTAAGTTTTACTTGTTTTAGATGTAAATTTACATATTATTCACTGTAAAATCGCAAGATGTACACAATATGAACATAGATTGAAAAAGCTTGGCCAGATTCCATTTTCAAATGTTCTTTGAAGTTTTGCATTGGGCTCAAACTTCTCAATCGAATATTAAAATCAAAAGATCAATGATCAATAAGGTCGATCAACATGCAATGTATTTGAGGTTTTTCGTTGTGGACTCTCCATCTCCTTGACATAGCCGTTCTTGACTTGTCGTACCACAAAGTTGGCCATCAGCTTCCATACCTGATGTCCTTCAGGGTTCTGGAACACCAATTTGGGCGGGTTATCTTCGAAGACGCGATTAAATAAGGCCCATAACTGGGGCTCCATGGTGAAACCGAGGCCCGCGTGGTGTTGGCCGAGGAACTGAAAGTTTAAATTGGATGTCAGAATGTAGGTAATGAATTGTTTTTTAGATAAAATACTTATGTTTTAAGCGGTTCAAAGTATTTACCCTATAAAAATGACCCTCATAATCAACTACAACATCCGCCTCTTGATTTTTTATACCAAAATTCTATCTTACTTTACCACGCCCTATCTTATCATAAAATTCACAAAACCAGCACTTAAAAAATCGCTTTAAAACCCCATACCTCCAAAGCAAAAGCCACCCGATTCAAGTCGTCAGCCATGTTGGTGATGACAAAATCAAATACCATGGCAAAGTTGGCTGCCTGTCGATTGAATACCGTGCTCTGTTGAATCTCTTTGTCCGTCATCCCGACTAAATTGAACATCTGATACAACTGCTGATTCGACCGTAGCAAATGCGACATCATACTTCGCGAACATTCGTTGATGTCGGCTTCTGAAGCGCGCATCCAAATCTTCTGGAGAATCATCTTGTGGTGTCGTGTCATGCCTGTTATACAGCTTTTTTCTGAAAATATTTTAACATTTTTGGTTTGAAAATGAACTGAAAATTTTTAAAATCAAGATTTGTTTTCAAATCCTCCTCCCCAATAATAATATAACCCTTACCCAATCCCGGCACAGGACTAGGACTTCTAGGCCGGTCCTCGTTGATCTGTTGTTTCCTCTTCTGTTCTTCTTGTCGTGCCAATGCAAATAATCGAGGATCATTCGGATCCCATAGCCTGGGGCATGTGTTCTTCTTCCTATTGTATCGCGCTGATTTACTGTGCTCTACCATGTGAATCTCTTGTGTAGCACGTGGCTCCAGACTCCGGCTTCTGATCTGACGTGCTTCTTCTACTGAGGTCATTGGGGAAAAGGTGCGCACGTTGCGACGAAGCAGGTTTTCATCGTTTTGGTCCTAAATTAATGTTTTTAGAATTGCACATGCCATTTGATTGAATGACTCATTTAATTGGAAACAAATTAAAATTTTTTGATTTAAAAATAGTAACTTAGTCCAAAAACAACATTAACTTGCCAATAGTGATATTTGTTTGACTAGCTAGCCAAACCTTCCAAAATTAGTAATTTCTAGCCACTTTTGAGAGCCAGAACCGCAAGCTAACCTTGTTTGTGGATATTAATCCTATAGACCTCCTAGTGTTCTAAAAGGTATCAAAAGCATCAATTACCTTTTGATTGGGACTCGATATCTCTACTTGTCTTGCGCTCTCTTTATTCTAAATTCTCTCTAGTCATACCAAAATCTGCACAAATTTATATACTATAAAATATTTATTGTAAGAGCTATGACAGTTTTTAAACTACAAATCCGAAAAACATACGATATGATTCTCTTTGAATGTGCACGTCGAAAAGGCACATTCGACTTATTATTTTTTTGTGAGGTAAACAACATAAGATTTATCATTTAAGGTTTTGCTTTTTAAAGATACATGTTTAAATAAGAAAGTGTTAAAAACCATATCAGTTTGTTAAACGTTTACATTAGTTCAACTATGTAGTCAAACGTTCCAAAATTATTAATTTCTAGCCACTGTTGAGAGCCAGAACCACAAGCTAACCTTGTTTGTGGATATTAATCCTGTAGACCTTTTCGTATCCCAAAACATCAAAAGCGTCGATTACCTTTTGATTAGGTTCGGGTTTCTTTTCTTGTCTTACGCACTCTTTGAACCTTATGCTCTATAGTTACCTTGCGAACTATCTTTTCTATAACTTAACTTCTTGCTAGTCCCCACACAAAATATAATATCTTACAGACTTTAGAGGTCAATAAAGTTTGGTATTTAATAAAAAAATTAAAAAACTTACCAAACTTTTGTTGAATGAGCCGTGATTACCCATCGCTCCAGCTACAGTGTAAAGTGATCGGCTATGTACAGTATTGGTTCGTGTTGTTGTAGTGCTTTTTATTGATTGTTAATAAAAAAGAATCTGAAAAAGCTATAAAATAAAATACGAAATTTTAATTATTTTTTAATTGGTCAAAGTAAAATTTAAATATCATCGTACAGGAAAATGTAATGGTAATCAACATCAATATAACTTATAATAGCACATAAATTAAAGAAATACAAATTTAAAAGAAACCCTGATAATACTAGGTTGTTCAAATAATTCTGTGCCCTCAAAAAAATTTTATTAAATGGTGGCGCAGAATTATTTGAACAATCTAATAAAAGGATAAGTATAATACTAAGAGATAGTCCCAATCACTAATCTTTTATGAAAAAATTGAGCTTATATCTCTGTTGATAATACTTACATACTAAAATCTGTTAAACTACGGTTATTTTGGATTTACGTCAAAGAAATGTTTACATTTTGATATAACAGTGATCAACAAGCATGCATCATCACAACACGACATACGATGATTAATATGTAAACACAATACAATTTTATGTTTTTCTCTTACTGCTTATGGTAATTTAGAGTTCTTGGTCAAAAAGTACGTAAAAAAACTATAAATCGTTATTATTTGCAAAAATTTGTGTTATTCTATAAACTTTTTGACCAATAGACAAGGTTTCGAACCCTTATTGACCAAAACAATAAATATTTATTTTTCTGGTCAAAAAGTCTATAGAAATGTCACTTTAACTAAAAACTTTCCATTTTTATCTCTTCTACTCACTTTTTGACCAAAAATTTCGCAAATTTAGAAAATTCAAAATAATTTAAAAAATACCTCAACATAAAGCACTAAACACTCCCCATTAGTCCACTGTCATAACACGAAAGCCATAAACCTCACCTGAGGCACGAAAGTCAAATGAGCTGCTTATTATGCTTTATATCCCAAAAGATAACTTTTACTTCGGCCGAAAAACAAAAATTTGATTAGTTTTTCGAATAAAACTGAGTTACTGCGCGAGCAAAGTATGTTACTATGTGCGTTGGGTGAAACTTCGGAACACGGAGATTAACACTACATCTACATTTAAGTCGTATTTTAGAAAAAAAAGTAAGAAAAAATGTATTTTTAAGGCTGAAACAGGAGGTTTTTGGTCGATAAAAAAATTATTATTAGTCGATAAAACAGGCTAAAATGTGAAAATCGAAATATTTTTAAAAAATAATATTTTCTGTCTTTTAAAAAGTTTTAAAAAAAGTAAACAAACGTATTTTTATTTCCTAATATTTACCTAAAAAAACAATTTTAAAGTCTTTTGCATCCAAGCGGATTCGAACCCGTTTGGATTTGAGAAGTAGATAAGATAAGCGCTCAACGCGAAATGAAATGCAGAATAAACCCCCAAAATAGCAGTTAATAACGTGATAATTTAATCAAATCTATTCCGAATTTTATGTAAATTTAGAATATGTACAAAGTAAAAAACAAGTCTTAGCTCCAAATTCCTCAACTAAAAAATTTTGAGTATTAACATTTAGCCATCTAGACGGAAAGACTCAAATTCACTACGTTATAGTAATCCAATCAAAAAGTTTATCATTACAAAAATGTTTATCATGGTCAAACACGTACTCATGCTTTTTTTGGCTGTTTTTTAACTTTTAGTATTTGCATAACAAAAGGAATGGCAGTTCGAGCAACAAAATGAGTAAGACTACATGTGTTTTGTAAATAAAGTTGGCAAAGTGAAATTTTATGTAAAATAGTCGTTAAAATGGTTTTCTAATACCTAATTTCATGTCAACAAGCAAAAGTTTTTTTAACATAGAGTAAAAACTCTCAAAACACTGTAATTTCGAAACTACAGTGTTTCCCCTCTACAGTAATACCCATTCCCCACCAGATCGACATGTACACACATGCCTACTATATATATATCAGTCTATTTGGCCCTCAATAACCTATAAACAATGCCAATTTACTGCCAATCGGAATTAGAGTCAAATTAATTAATTGAATGACGTTTGGAGGAATGTTTCCATGAAGATAAGCCCAAACATTCGGCCGATTCAATTTCGCATTAAAACGTTAGCTGCACAGAATTAAAATAATATTTGGGGGAGAGAGTGTGGGCGGGGTGAGAAACGGCAGAGAGTAATTATGGAGTTGGGCCAAAAATGAAATTCAATCCCGGATTCTGGAGACTTTTGAGGAGGATTCTGACATAATTTGAGGTTTTTGTGTTAGTTTAGAGGTGGCAAACTACGAATTTATGAAATAAGGGGGTGGAACTACAAAATTTGTAAAAATATTGGGGTGATAGTACTTTCAAGTGCTGTTTTACAGTAAAAAATCACTGTAAAATCCCCAAAAATATTTTTAAAAACATTTCATTTTCAGCCCTAAATTTAAAAACAAAAACTTTAAGTCACGTTCCCTTTGCCAAAATGTGCTTTAAAAATCACCCAAGTTGACGCTAATTCGCCATAACTTTTAAAATCAGTTAATTGCTCTCACGTGGCCCCAAAAACAAGATGTGACAGTCTCTGTGATGACCGTGTCGTGAACGTGGAAATCTCCAAAAAACATTTGTTTTGTATTTTTGGGGATTAGCCGGACTAAATTTGAAACTGGGTTTAAGATGGGGCTAATCATCCTATTACGTAGATGGTTTACATAGTAGAAAATAGAGGAAGTTGCAGTAAAGTTACGGTAAATAATAAAATATGTTGTGATGATAATGTAGATAATGTGAAGTATAGTAGAAACTGTATATATATGCAAAAATGTAAAAAAATGGTAAAAATTACTGCACAAAGTAAAGTATCTTTGACTGTCACCTAAAATATCAGTCGAGCTCAAAATTTTTACTTAAAAAAGCTAACTGAACTACTATTTTTACGAAAAATATCAACGAAAATACTATGTTACCTAAAATCCCAGATAAATTAACAGTTTTTCGCTAAAACAACAACCAAATTAACCCCCTTTCACCTACAACATCAGCTGACTGTACTAAACTCTGGAAAAGCCAATTACTGCAAATTAGGTGGGCCACGTGTGGCCAAAATCAGGCTTAATTATCGAGGAAAAAACAGAATAATTTACGCCTCTTGACTCCACTTAAAGAGGCTAATAGACGTCTGCCAACAACAACTCCTAAAAGCTTTTAAAACTCGAGCCAAAAGTTTTTGGGCTTGACCAATGATTACGTTTCTAAAGTTAATGTTTTAAAACAATAACTTTTGATAAGTTTTAAAGAGTTTAAATTTGAAAGTGAACCTAGTTATTTCAATGTCGGCTATCATTTTCGGTAGTAAAACTATACAATTAGATTATCTTACACTAGAAAGATCTTACGAAGAAAGTACTCGATCTGCCCCACTCAGAATCATCTCAAAACTTTATATACAAATTCTTTGTACCACCAATAGTACCCATAAAAAATTTTAAATTGCACTTTTAAGTTTTAAATTTTAAACATTTGAGTTTCCCGCCACTTTGGCATTGTGTTTCAAGCAGTTTTTTTGATGTTTCAGACAAGCTACGCTTACAATTTTATAAATGGTGGTCCATCTAACGGTTTTCTACCGGTATATCAAAGAAAAACAATTAAAATTTAAAAATTGACAAAGCTATAAGCTTGAAACACAATGCCAATTTATGTTAGCGAAAAATTCAAAACTTTTTTTTTATTTTCTTCAGCTTGAGTGGAAGGTGTGATTTAGTACACTGCTAAAGATATTATATTTACATCATCTTTCTATATAAAAAGTTCGAAGTCAATCAGAAATTCAGGGTAGCACCCTCCTTGTTAGAAATCCCACCCTAGTTACATATCTAAAACATTTACCAACCTCAAAAACATTTTTTTCTTAAAAAAAATCCAAAAAATAAATAAAATTCTGTTTATTATATTATTAACGAGTCTGAGATGTGGACGAAGACAAGATTGGGCGTTTTATACCGGGCAAAGTAAAGCATCAAATTACAGTAATCTCAAACAACTGTTTTGTGGAAAATTGGTCAGCAAACATATTTTTAAACTTTAAAAGTTTCATTCTGATAACATTTTTAAAAGATGTCATTATGACACATTTTTCACAAAAAGACATCACCTTGACATACTTTGTGATGAAAAAGTGTCATCATGACACATTTTTTAGACAGGTGTCAGAACAACATTCTTTATAAAAAATAAGTCATTACGACTGTTTTCGAGAAAGAAAAAGATCATTATGACCCAAAATACTGACCAATTCCCCTGACCTATTATATAAAATAACATACGATAAGGTATTGGATGTGAAGATAAAGCATGAATAACATGACAAGACCGGTAGTTTCATATGACCTTTTATGACTCAAAAATGTACAGAAAATAAGATATTTAAAAGTTTGTCTATTAATTCTTTCGCTTTCGTAAAATAGCGTAAATACGAAAGAAATAGTGAACTATTATAATGTAAAAAACTTAAAAATCATTTAAAAACAATTAAAATTAAGTTACAGTAACTTATAAACAACAAAAATAAGATTACAATATAAAAGTTGCTAAAATACGACAAAAATCTGAAATAAAATCATGCTAGTATACCTAAACTAATGTAAAACGTCAGTATTTCCTTATGTAAAGTTAGTGTAAGTGTAATATCTGATAAAGTAACAAAATACGAATTAGACTACAGCGTGCCAATTAGTCTAAGCCTGGACGACAGTATGCCAATTAACCAAAGCCTGGACTACAGTATGCCAGTTATAGTCCAAACCAAGGAAAGTCGACGATTCTCCATTTCTCTCTGACCTTGTAGCTCGGATACAGACCCGTTTCTCCGGTACGACGGTTGGTGCCTTTACTGTAGCCATCCCAATGGTTACCCGCTATGCCTACAGTATCCCCTACCTCCATCGAGATCTCATTAGAAGCCTTTTTGACGTGACGTTCGAAGGCGGTTTGTTCGTGTGCTAAAAAGAGTACAATGACAATAGTTTCAGTACAATAATATCAGTTTCAGTGTTATACAACCTACTATAACATAAAATTTATAATTTTATAGTAAATATATGTTATCTAAAATTTCTTCACCACCTTGCCGAAACATAAATTTTCCTACACAACCCTTTAAATCTCCAAAACATACCATGTTGTCCTCCGTAGTAGTAAATGTCGTCGAGAGAATGGTACTTCTCGGCCACATCTCCATCCTTGACCTGCTTCAGTTCGTAGCCGACCCGACAGACTTGCGAACTGAACGTACATACCAAGTAGTCGCAGCGAGATAACATATGCACATCTGTTACCACTCCGTACAAAGATACGTCCGTATAACGATTGGCTAGCTGGGCTGACTGGGCTATACCTACATCCGCGTACACTTCATAGTGGGGGTATCTAAAACATTTTGAATTAGGTAAGTTGAGTTATCAAAATAAAGCAGAGAGTATAGTAAGAAGTTATAGTATGACCTACTTTGTCCTCGTCTCATCCACAGCCTTGGGATCATCTGTAGCAATGTAAACCCGTCGTTTCAGTGACCGTTCAGGTGAATGTCGTTTTTCTTGAACTTGGAACCAAATCTCGGCCCATTTCATATACTCATCGACCCCGTGAAATGCCGCTTCCAACCCAATCTTGTCAGTTCTCCTGATTTGTAACCCTACTACTGGTCCTGTAACGAAAACATGCGTTATCAAAAACTACTGTTGTAACTTTTTAAAAAACCGTCTTAATTTTTAAAAACGACATGAAATTTGATATAAGTTTAGAAAATTTGGATAATAATCAAAATTAAATTCATTTTAAAATTCGAATTTAAAATTCGCGCGCGTTGGCATAGTATTTTCTGCCATTTTTATTAAAAAGACCTTGTCAATCTGCATGCTTTTTTCAAAAAAATTAAAAGTCCTGTAAGACCATTTATTTTCTATTAAAAAACCGTAAATACTACCCTCTAAACCATCAAAAATCAAACAAAACAGCCCCAAGTCTACTACAACGTACCTTCGTCGAATGGAATCTTGGCCGCAGCTTTGTCCAGAATCTCCCTCATGTGGTCGTTCGATCTCATCAAATACCAAATGAATTGAGATTGAAAGAACACTGGGGGATTCGAGTGATGTGTCAGCAACTCGTCTTCCAATTGCTTCGGAAAACTCAACGGTAGCTGAGCTGGACGTTGATGTAGAGCGTCGACGATGGTCAAGAACAATACCCGTTCGGTCTGGTCGATAGATCGCCAGCTTTCAGCTTTTGAAGACTTCTAAACAAACTCATTTTAGACAGGTTTTTTAAAATTATTTTAAAAATTAGGTATTAAATGATCGAAATAAAGGTATAGCTACCTACATAAACTTCTCATAAAGACTTACAGATACAGAATTGGCATAAGTGCACCCGGAAACATCTTCAAACACAGCGGTCCAGCCTTGTTTCGAGTACCTCCAGCCAGCACCATCACCCTCAAGCACCATGGTGCGATTTGAAGCGGTAGCTACAGTTAGACAATATGCCACATGGTGTAACTGACATCCAAATCCACATCCTTTGTTCAGGTCACAAACTAGTATCCTAAAATGCAATAAAAGGTTAATTTACACTTGTAAAATGCAAGAAAAATGTAATTGATAAAAGTTAGCATAAGTAGAAAAATCAGAAAAAAACTTGACACGTTTTCAAGTTATGAGTCAATATTTCTTCTCAAACAAAATCTCGTTTTTTCGGCCGAATTTTACAAAATTTAAAGAAAATTCGGCAAAAATGTTGCAAGTTTAGCTATGGATATTGACTTACCTTGCGGCTGAACAAGATTCAGGATGCTGAAGATCGTAGATACGTTTTTGGATATGATCTGTTACTTTCTGAAGCTCTTGTTTATGCCACGCGGCCGACTGGTCGACTAATGAACCGAAGTTGGTCGATAAGGCCATCAGAGAGATAGTCTGGAATTAAAAATATGTTATCAATGTTTCGATCTTTAAGATGTCGTTTTTTTCGTCGTTTTGATGTGATTAAGGTATGTTTTTCTATTACAATATAATTTTAGTCTAATTTAGGTATTAATTTTCTGAAAAGTAATTGAAACTGGTTTATGAGAATCTACTTAAACTGTTCTTACCTGATTAAGTACCCGTTCCTTGAAATTGGCTTTATCTTTGACACTTCCGTCGTCTGAATCCATCTGAAACCTGAGGTAGTAGAAAAGTTCCCGAATCTGGTTGTCCAGCTCCCGTCGCTCGACTTCATGTTCTTTAGTGTACAGTTTTCCATTATCAATGTTATACTTGAGCTTAGGTTCGGGCAAAACTGGCATTGGCTCTAGTTTCTGGTCATTTTTGGGAACTTCGTCTTGGGCCGCCAGTTTTTGACGAAGTTCGGCCGTTTCTTGTCGCAGTCGATCCAGTTCGGCGAGGGCTGTGTTCAGTTCTTGTTTTTGAGCTATGTCTGGAATAAAACTTGATATTAAGGAACGAAATTTTTGTAAATATATTGGGGATATTGTCATTTTTTAAATAATTTTTAGTAATGTGAGCATTTTGCCTAGTGTAATATCGGAAAATTGATCAGAAACCTATTCTAACATGTGTAATGAGATCTTATCTTGTTTTTATATTGTTGCTAAATGTTTACTTTTTGAGAACTATTGAAAAAACATTCTTTTCGCTAAAATATTACTCATCCCGAGCAAAGCTTTCCCCTTATGTAAAATCTTTGATTTCTTTAATGTTTTTTGGATAAAAAACGCTTGAAATTACTTTAAATACAATAAAAAGCATAGAAAAATCTATAATATCATAGTTTTAGACTCAAGAACCTACCATACTGTGGATTTTCGACCCGGTTCGAGAGTTTGATCACCATGATGAGCCATAGCACCACGGCGGCCCCACAGCACCAGAGCAGCAACGGTGTTAGTTGGCACTGTCTCATCGCATTTTGTTTCTGGAATTGTACGTAGTATGGCAATGGCATGGTAAGTCAGTAAGTTAGGGTAACATAAGCAATGTTTTGAGACAAAGCACGCTCACATCCACCGATTATTTTGAAAAATTTCGAAAAAAAATCATATTTTGGGATGGGAAATTTGCATAATTTTGAAAAATGAACTTTTTTGATAAGGAAAATATAAAGTTTGATATTTGTGCTAAAAGTTACTTTACAATTACGATATCACGCATGGCATCTTATTAACAGATTAATTTAGTGTAATACCGGAAATACTGTAGTGTAAATACTAGACATCAACATTCGGGTCTCCAGGAATAAAAATTGGGATAAAATTAAGGATGGTCTAAAAATTTATAGAAAAACATCTATAATCACTAATTTTTAGCACGAAAGGAGATTTTACGTACTTTTTGACCGAAGTAAAGCTTTAGTTATAAGAAACGGGTAAACTTGGTAAAAAAATTTAAGACTTGCAGCATCAGATCATTAAAAACGTATGTTTAGATACATTTAGGTGTAATTGGCAAGATCTTTGACTAGGCTTGTTATGGATGTTAGAGGCTGGCACAAATAACATAACCGCTTTAAACGACTACTAATTACTCGTTTTGGCACGAAATAACTTGTGATGCTAAATATATGTACACAACAAGATATTATAAGAATATAATATAGCATGGTGCTGGTGTAAACAGTTTTTGAAGGCTTTACTCTTTAGTATGGATATGCTATATGAGTCTATACTATTGTCAACGGGCATTTACTGTAAACGGCAAGTCAAAAAAGACTGTAACTTTGACTTTCTTATCACTAGCTTCTACTGTACAATATCTGTGATAGCATGTTACTAAAAAATCATTAGAAATTCAAAAAAAGGCCGAAAAGTCCAATAAGATTATATTAGCCAAACATAGTAACAAAGTCAGGCTCAAAAGTAAAGTAACATGTTTAAAAAACAAAGATACGACAAAGCTTTGTGACTTCGTCTTTCATTGTTATTTACAATGTTAAACTCGAAAGTGTCCGGAAGGATTGAGAATGTTTAACTAGCATTTAAAAATAGGACTATTGGTACATTGTGGCATTTGAAATTAAAAAAACTTTTGAAATTTAAAAATTTTAAAAAATCAAAAATATTAAAAAATAAATCAAAATTCAAACATAAAACAAAAATACAGTAATATCAAATCCTAAAATACAGTATCACCTCCTATTCCCCACAAAAACTTGAATATTTGGCCACAACAGCGAAATGGCCAAATGTCTTATATAAAGCGGTTTTACTCCAAGTTTTTGGCGGCGCTTTTTTGTGGCCATTCCTCATGGCCACGGCCATTTTTTGGGCTCAAATTCTCTCGCTTTTTGATAAAACTCGAGATAAAATATTGGGGCGAGAGAGTGTTGAGGGCACGGAGACGGCAGGCCAATTTCTAGCGAATTTTTAAAAAAATTTTTTAAATCGGGGGTTGCAAACGAAAATTTTTCTTTTTTTAGAAATTTTGGAAGGAAATTTGAAGTAAATTTTGATTGAAAAAAATTCGCTGTAATCAATTTTCTAAGCAGTCAAAAAAGTATTGTCGTCAATTTACTTTACTTTCAACCGCAAAAAACGACATGACTTTTGGCGCAGTATAATCTCTAAAAATTTAAATGACTAACATTTTGACAATTTTTGAGAAAATTTTTATATTTATTCAACGTTTACCGTAGTTTTTGTATGGTATCCGAAGGTACGTCAAATGACGTGTATAATACGAAGCCATACTCAAGGGATCTGTAACGCCATTTTACATGGGATTCCTTCAAGAAATGACGCTTTATTGGGTCAGAGTAGGAAGAAAAAGGGATAACGTTTTTTAAATTTTTAAAAATTTTTACTTTGAAGGCCCAGGGGGGGGGGTAAAAATTTTTTTACGTATTCCAACGGAGGGGGCTTGACAATGGACCCGGGCTTACTTTTCAAGCCCGCGGGACAGGCCAAACTTTTTTTTTCCCTTTTTTCAGCATTAATGTCTCTACAACTTGCTGTCTACAATATTATACCCCGCTATAAGAACATTAAAGATCTGATTCTCAGTGAGAATCCGAATATATACACGATGAACACGTTGCAACTGCGTAACACACTGCTAAAAGTATATTTTCGATAGTTTTTCCGTTTTAACAATAAATTTACATTATAATAAGGGAACGAGACCTTTCGCTTTGATATTTGTGAATAATATTTTGGGGAACTATCTTGGTTTTCGATTCGGATTTTAGCTTTAAGAGAGTTCTAAAGTATCATGTTTCTATTATAAAGAATTAACAAATTCTACGCAATTTACAAAAATTAACATTATCCTACGTTTTTCTATCTATTTTTTGACCCCAACCGCATAAATATAGACTGTATTACGCGTAACAAAGAATGGGTCTTAAAAGGAGCCCACTAGGCCGGTCCAGTCCTTTTAGAAGTCTAGACGTAACTAGTCGATTCTACGTATTTTTCGACCAAAAAAGTGACAGTTGTGTATAGCATTACGTAGCGGAAAAACTTCATTAATCCCCCGCTTCGGCCACCATAATTTATTCACTTTGAAGAACGTTAAATCAAGGTTTACATTAATTTTCGAGTGGATTTGAAAAAAGAATGGCATTTCAAACTATTTAAAATACAGATGAATACAGAAAAGGTCACAGTTGATGTCACTACAGTTCTCGGCGGTTAGCAAGGCCAAGGTTGGAAAATTATTGGCCAAAAAGTTTTTAGAATCTACTTTTGTGGTCGAATTTGAAAGTTTATCTTATAAAAATTTAAATTTTAGTAACAAAAATAAAAGTTTTTTGAATTTCCAAAAAACAACCCTCAGGCGAAATAACAAAAAAATCAAAAAAGTATAATAAAAAACCATCATACGTTCATATTGCTATTGAAAAAGACCGTTTAAAAAACTGAATTATAATCCGAATTTCGTTTCAGAACTGTTTAGATGACAGATATACAAACAATTAAAAGGTAGCCGGAGGGTTTGAACTAGGTGGGTGTTTAGCTGACATTGTTATTGTAACAAAAGGGATCCTCAGTTTAATACGATTGGTATGGGGTTGTATATATTTGGTTATAGGTAGAGATTGATATGCAATTATAAGTAGTAAGGGTTAAAAAAAGAGTAGGGCTACTATTGAGGCCGGGCCGACTCGGGCAGAATATTTAGGATCGGCTGTTTTCATTCTTTCTCCGACTAGATCAGCCAGGCCCGGTCAAAAAGAATTCTCGGCTTGGGCTTACTTTTCGAGCCCAGCCCGCGAGCTGGACCTAATTTTAAAATTCGGCCCGTTGGTTGCCCACGTCCATTATTCTAATAGTTATAGAGTGATACTAGTCTACTTTTTGCAAAAGAACTAAGTTGGTTTCGCATATTATTCTTCTCTTTTGATCATGAGAAATGTCGCCATTATTCATGGCCATAGAGAAGAGAGAGGAAGAAGTATAATACATAATGTTAAGATATTCATGACCTTTTTTATGAGCTTTGGTTACTTGAAAATGGTCTTTATGAGATGATATTGTGAATGAAAGTACCCTAATATATTTTGTCATAAAAAAAGATTTTTTTTTGAAAATTTAATTTTTGTTTTACAAAAAGTTGAAAATTTTCTATCCACACCAATAAAAAACCAAAGTTGACATCTACTCACTATCATTTTCTACCGTACCAAGCCAAAAAAACTAAAAACGGCCCAAAGTGAAAAGCTTGAAAATTGAAAAAAGAGATTAAAATTGGTCGAAAGTCGAGAATTCTCGAGCGTTTCGAGTGTAGTTTAATGGGATTCTCACTACTGTCTTTATTACATGTCATCTTGGCCATGTTACACTCATGCCTTCGATGGCATTCAACATAATCAAAGAAATTTTCTGAATAAATTGAAAAAAAAATATTAAAAAATTGGCTTTGTTATTTTTAAAATTTTTAAATTTATGGGTTTCGAAAAAAAGAATACAAAGGAATTTTGTCATTCTTTTGGTTTTGACATTGCCAAGACACCAGACAAAAAATTTAAAAGAAAATATGTCATCGTGACACTTTTTATATCAAATGTGTTGTAATGACACGTTTTTTAAATATTGTATTTATGACGTATTTTAAAACTAAAAATGTTATAAATATCATATATAAAAAAATGTTTGAAAACATGTCATCCTGACACCTTTTTCAGTTAAAACATGTCATGATGACACATTTTTAAAAATGAAAGAAAACTATGTCATTATGACATATTTACCATAAAATCATAATAAACCCGAAAATACTTCCGCCAAATGACAAAATAATCAAAATGACCGGCAGCTCGCTGCACTTGGGCATAAAGCCGGCTGTTCGCAAAATTTGCATATTTTATTTTTTCCGCTTTAAGAAATGTCTTTAAATTCCTTTCCCAGGGGAAAAGCAGAAAATGGCCAAGAATCCGCTTAGCTCCACAAATGGTATCGCTTTGGTTTGGCTTTTGGTGTAAAATACGATTTTACGCCACTTTTCGATAGAAGCTTTAATTAAGGAAATTAAGGGTTGGAATTAAAACAAAGACGGATTTTATGAGATTTTTTTGGATTTTGCACAAAAACTTGATTTTTAATTTGAAAAATGAAAATTTTTAGCTGTGTTTTGATACGTATTAGTAGTACGGTACTGTAGAGTACTGCGAGCTCAATGTACTATAAAATCTCTATAGGAAACTCAAGTATACAAAAAGCTTGGATACTCTAGCCCTACCCCGAGTCTCAGCTCTTTCCCAGCCCTATCCTTAGCTTTAGCCCAGGCCTTATGCTTTGTCTTAACAGCTCTTGTCTGGCCACTGCCTAGCCTTAGGTCTTGTCCAGCCCTAGAGTTACAATTTGCTAGTCTTTTTTAAAATGCTTGCCTAACGGTAAAACTTTTAAAATTTCATCTTAAGCCTCCCGCTCTTAAAAAATAAAAAGAAGTACTAAAATTTAAGACCACTCCCCCCTTTTTTGTAACAAAAAATGCCCTTGCGGAACTTATCATGGCCTTTAATTGTAGCAATTTGCAAAAAATGAATGCCAAAATGAATACAAGTGTTATGCCCCATTAGAGCGAATTCGATCCGCATGAAACCCTTTCAAGTATGTACTAATATTAAATTACATCGAACGAAATGTAAACGGAAACAAAAATTAAAATAAAGCGAAGTTGAGGACAAACGTTTGGCCATAATGACATAGTTACATGCAAAGGGGATATTAACTTTAAAATTATTTAAAAAATTATTTTGGAAAATAAAAAAAAAGATTATTTGCTCTAAAACTACTATAACACATTCATCAAGCTCTAAATAAAAACCCAATTTTGTGAAAAGGTCCCAAAGCTATAGTAAATCAAAATATAATCTTTTTAACCCTGTAAAATATACAACTGAGCCTTTGCCGTCACAAAACACAGATGACATATTGGACCGGGTTTAATGCGTTTATTTATAACGAAAGGTGTGCAAATATGCTCTTGGGCCGACAGTTGTCATCCTCAATCAAAAGGGCCTGCCCTCGCTGTTTTGAGGCTTAGCAGAGGTCACAATTCTAATTTATTGCACTTTAATAACTCGGGTTTAAAGTTTTTGAGTTTACAAACAAAAAAATTTAAAAAAAACTATCACTTTACACTGTAGCTGGAGCGATGGGTAATCACGGCTCATTCAACAAAAGCTTGGTAAGTTTTTTAAATTTTTTTATTAAATACCAAACTTTATTGACCTCTAAAGTCTGTAAGATATTATATTTTGAGTGGGGACTAGCAAGACGTTATATAGAAAAGATAGTTCGCAAGATATAGAGAGCATAAGGTTCAAAGAGTGCGTAAGACAAGAAAACAAACTCAAACCTAATCAAAAGGTAATCGACGCTTTTGATATGTTTTGAGATACGAACTACTTTATGCCTAGCGCTATGATTTTATTATGCATTTTATTTCCTCCCTAATAAGACGTAGTTTGATAGAGAGTTCGTAAGACGGTTAGGGTAAACCTAACCCAATCATAAGGTAATGAGCGCTTTAAAGACCTTTTAGAGTATGAACAGACCTATAGGATTAATATCCACAAACAAGGTTAGCTTGTGGTTCTGGCTCTCAACAGTGGCTAGAAATTAATAATTTCGGAATGTTTAACTGATAAGTTGAACTAATATAATTTTTTAACAAACTAAAGAAGGTAATCTTAAAATTCTATTCTTAAATTATTTTTTTTTAACGTTAAATTGTAAATTTCATGAGCTTTTTAACGTTTAAATTTAACAAAACTCGCCGTGCACGTTCAAAGAATAATTTGTTGTGTTTTTAAGTTCTTTAGGTTAAAAATTTTCATAACTTTTACAATAATAAAGCTTTTGCAACATTAAAATGTGGGCAGATTTTGCGATAACTAGAGAGAGCGCTGAATCAAAGAACGTAAGACAAGCAGAGATATCGAGTCCCAATCAAAAGGTAATCGATGCTTTTGATATCTTTTAGAACACTAACGGATCTATAGGATTAATATCCACAAACAAGGTTAGCTTGTGGTTCTGGCTCTCAAAAGTGGCTAGAAAAGAGAAATTTTGGAATGTTCGACTGATGTTGAACTAATAATCAGTGGCCAACTAAATAAAATTGTTCAAGTAAACAAGTTTCTTGTTGACCTACTCTGTGACGAACCCGGCCTTGTAAGTGAGGTAAAATATTTTACCTTATTTTGTCATTCTTGATACTTTTCCCTTTTTTAAAAAATTTAAACACTAAATTAAGCTGTTTTTCAAAAAAGCCAATAAAAATGAAATATTAGGTAAGATCAGATGTATGAGATGATAAATAATGTCAAGAAACAAGACCAAACATTGGCCTCGGCTTCGTTTTCCGGCCTCGAAACAAGAGCTAATTCAAGAAAATTGGATTAAAACGGGCCAAGGAGGGCGGGTACCCCGTAATTAAGTTTGGGCATTAAAAGTACATTTATTTACTGTATGTTTGGATAATTAACATAATATTATCCTAGCAATACTTCAAGATGCAGTAAGAATATTAAAAGGAAATATGATTACAGTAGGATATAATTACGGTAACCCACAAAGTAAAAAAATACAGTAAGAAGAAAAAGCTAAACAAATTACAGTAAGACAAAGGACATACTAAAAAAAGAAGTTACAGTACAATAAAAAACAGTATGATGTAACAAAACAAAGTAGAGAGCAAAAAAACACTACTGTTTACGGAAGACGAGTCAACAAACTGTAAGTAAATAGCCCCGACAACTACTACAATAGCATTGCGCGACCGGTAACAGATGGTCGTATATCTCAGAACGATCATAAAGACATGGATTTGCATAAATTTTAATATTTTTTTTAAACAAACAAAATTTTAATTTTGATTTTATTTTTAACAATTTTTACTAATTTTGATTTAAATTTTGTTTAAATTTTTTTTGTATTCCACGTAACTGAAATGTAAAACACGAAATTTATATGTCGACAATGAAAAATTTGATAAAGAAATAATGCAAACAAGAGTGCAATAGACAGTCATAGAAAGTAAACCCAATCAAAAGGTAACGATCGCTTTATAGAACTTTTAGAGTGTGACGAGATCTATAGGATTAATATCTACAAACAAGGTTACTTGTGGTTCTGGCTCTCAAAAGTGGCTAGAAATTACTAATTTTGGAATGTTCAACTGGTAAGTTGAACTAATATAAGCTTTTAAAGAACTAATTTAGTTTTTGATTTTTCTATTAAAACATGCATTTTTAAAAAGTAAAATTCTAGTTTAAAATAGTAATTTTTATATTTTTTACGTTACAAACAAGGTAGCAAAACTAACGTGCCATCCCCGTGCACATTCAAGGATACCCTATTACAAATTTTTACGTTCTTTATTTTAAAAACTATTATATTAATTTAAAAGCACGCTAAAGACTATTACAACGCTAAAAAACAGTTGCCCATAAAAATTTTATATTATAAAAATATATTATATAAACAACATACAAACCGTTCAATGTATAGAGACATCAAAGTATAATAACACAATGTTCATCCGAGGCTTGTTCGGAAATGTCAAATGATTCATTATGGAGATTCGAAAAGCGCATTTTAAGTATTTATTTTATGGCCTAATTGGGCCATTGTTCTTCGAGAGTCTCGAGCTGGGACAAGGATCATCTTTGTTACTAGTTGGTCCTACTTGTAGTATAGGACAACAAAAACAAACCTTTTTATCTATAAAACGCGGCATTTTAACAATAGTAATGTAAAAAAATACCAAAGTGTTTTACCGAGCAGCTTAATACCGCAGTAAATCCTTTGAAAGCTCTGTAATTTACCTTTACTTCTTTTTGCAACAGATACACATACCTTTATATCTACATCTTTTACTAACTATATCCACATCTTTTAATACCTATTACTTTTTATAAAATCCTACAAACATACATCCCTTAATAGTAATTGCCATTAATCTGGTAATAGCTGCTACGTCACGTATTTCCCTGGTTATTATGTCACTACGTAACACTGCCAGATTAACAGTTTACATTACTGTTAAATGCAGTTTCCAAAGCAATAAAATGTAAAATATGAAGTTAGAAAGGCTTTGGATACTGTAGCATGATGTAGTTGGGTACTGTTCTTTTGAAATTTAGAATAATAGTAACATATGAAGGCCTAGAGTTGTAGTAGAGGCTTCTTTAGTTATTTATGTTTTAAAAGTCAAAAAACAAAGAATGGCCATTTCATAACCGTATTAGCTTTGAGCTACCGTATTTTCCCTTTTGTAAATTTAGTTTTTGCTAAAAACTATCTTTAACATACTATACTAGTTACACTAATGTACTGTATGACTCAAAATCATAAAATTAAACAAAAAGACATCCATACCTCCAATATTTCATGGTAAAATTCATTAAATTTATAAAAAACAACAATAACAATGTAAACTTAACAAACCCTATCTACTACAACATGTTCGTAGTGATAATGTCATCACCACACGTTATGTCATCACCGTGTTTAATTCCACTTCTGGATGAACTTCTTCCGTTCGTTTTTTGAATTCATTGATGTGTTCAATTACTTTTGAGCCATCAAGTAATTTACTGTTCAGTAAGTTCGTCTTCGGGTCCAGGATCCACTTACTACAATATTTATTTAAATCAAACGCTATTTCTTTCAATTTAGGAACAACTAACACAATATAATGTAAAAAGTCTCGTTTTTATGGCCACTATTGTAGTGAGAAACGTTTACTCAAAAAGTAATGATTTACTGTATAACACAGCTGCCACAGCACCCCAAGTTGTAAACATACAAGATATTATATATACTGTAAAAACAACCTACTCGACCAGCTGATTATGTTTCCTAGCCAGTGTCTTGACCCGATTCAAAAATTCATCATCCAGCTTGACTCCATAGTCATCTAGTAGTTCCTTTATCCTCATAGCGTGAACTCCAAGGTCGTTTCGAGCTGAAATACCATGTTATCAGTAACTACAGTGTGTGTATGTTTACCCGTTTTAATCTTTCAATCAGTATGGTACAATAGGTAAATAACTTTTACTGACCCTTTTTCAAAACTTTTTTTTTAAAAAAAATTAAACGTGGTATACCGTGATACCCCTGTCAACAAAAGCCCTGCCCGATCATTTATTTGACATAAAAATCTCAAAATTATATAAACCTTCAAAACTTACTGCACATCCTAATCCAATCAGCATGACAAACCTTGAGCGCATTCTGGTCGTTTTTCAAATTGGTCGAATTTAGACAAATCTTCAGAAACTCGTAGGTAACATCAGCCTCATGCCCCATTTTGGCCGTTTGGATTGAATTGTTAAGCCTGAAAAGTTGTGCCAAATCCATTGGATTCAGTTTGTTTTCGCTTAGCACGGCTTCGGCTTCGTCGTACTTCTGAAGCTGGACGTAGGCAATGGCCAAAAAGGCGTTCACTCTCGACTCTGACAGATCTGACCTCGCCTTCTGGAGGATAAAGTTCTTGCGATGACAATCGACCGGTTGTCGAGTCAGGACGTCGATCAAGAGTTCGAGCATTCCATTCGAGAGATGGTACTTTTCTTGCAGTTTCAGCCAGGTTTCTACTGCCGTGTTCCAGCCAAGGCTAAAGTTGTAGTAAAATTATAGTATATATCATTCATGCGTACTATAAAGTCAAAAAGTATATAAAAGACCAGTTGATCACAAACTTGTATCTTATATTATACTAAAGCTTCAATTATATTATCATAATTATAATTCGCTGAAAGAAAAGCGAGATAAGTGGTATAAGATAAACTCACATATTAAGTACACGCCTCACAATATACGGACTGATAGTTTCATTCGTATGTAAGTTTAGGTAACTTTGTCTGACTAAACCATCAAAGAAGTTTATCACCTTGTCCAACAGTTCCTTCGTCAATGTTTTTTCATGTAGCAAAGCTTTGAAGAGAGTACGGTAGGCTCCAACAGTTTGGTATAAAGTTGAAGGATCTGCTGTGGCTGAAATACAAAGCTTACAGCATACACATATATTATTAATCTCTATATATAATAATGAAGACCAAATTTGAAAAGAATACTACAGTTTTTACGTAACAAATCTAAACCACCACTCTCCATCCCTAGCCTGGCTATGACAAATTAAAATACAACATATTGACCTTACCTCTTGGAAAAAGCAGCCTTAACTCTTTGGCATACTCATCTAAAACACTTAAGTCTCCACTGTAACCAATTTCTATGAATTTTCGATGTAAAATGTGAAGTAAATGAAAGTTTTCCACGAAATTGTGAGGGTTTTTAGATGATTCTTCTACATCGTTATATGCTTCTGGTTCTGTTGCTTGGCTTCTGAAACAATCAACTTTGTGGCTTTGAAATTACACGTATTATGCGTTAAAATTTCTACCTTCTATAATATTATTGCCAGTTAGACGACTTTTTCAAATTAAACTCGATTTTAAACCTCATTAACTTGTTAAAAAATCTTACAATTTCATAAATAATACTCTACTACAGTAAATAAAAGCCTTACAACATGTGCAGAAGCTTATGAAGATACCCAAAGTTGGCCTGTTCCAAGTATAACACAATGATCTCATCAACTACCTTTGAAAAGTCTGTATCCTTCGGAAATCCTCCATTCTTTATCAATTCAACATGCAATTTTTGCACGTTATCAGCTGCTATCAAACCTCGTAGTCGTTGGTTGGTCAGAGGTATCACAATACCTTTACAATATTCATCATCTAATGTCACTGTCCGGCTTTTGATTTCTATCCATCTGAAATTGAATATTACCCAATATTAGTAAAAAAATCTTTTACTTTGTATAGATTTGACAGTATTTTAAAATACAGCATCAAACATTAAAAATATATTAACCATGATATTGTAGTATACAGACTGAGCTATACCTACCGTGTCAAATTGACAGAAGAAACATATATCGTTTCTCGTTGTGAAAAACGATGAATAGTTTTAAATAAATCGAGAATCTCAACTTCTCGAATACCAAAACTTTTCAAACGGTCAAACAATTTGTCTAACCTTCCAATGTCCGTATCTTTCAAATCATTGTATAGACGATGTTCTGAAATTAAAAAAACTCATAATTAAATCATTTCTACGAATACATAAGTACAAATTTAAAAATATTAAAAATAAGGTATTATCTATTATTAACAAGTAGTCTACTATAACATATTGTTAGCTATATATTTTGATTGTTAAACATAATTTAATTTAAATAAATGAAAAAAAACTTAAATACAAAGACAAAACATAAAGGCTACCTAATTCAGGTAAAACAATATGTTTAGCCAGAAATTCAAGGTTATCTTGAACAAGATCTTTGTATCCCATCAGCTTGGCTCTGAACAATATTGAAAGCTTTTCAAATGAAGTGCCACTAAAAGTAAAATGTACAAAAAAACATTACTCTATTGAAATATAAACGACAACATGCTTTAACAACACTTTAAAGCCCATAATTTTCAAAAAACCTAGTTTACCTACTATAAGATAAACTAAAACAAAAAATACCTGGCAATAAACGGCATTATCAAATGTGATCGTTCTCTCTCCAAGTCCACATTATCCACCAACACTTTGAACAAGTCAAAACGATAAGAACAAGATACTTCCGTATTCATCAACAAAGTTTGCAGTAAAATAAAGTGAAACTTCTTCTCGTACCCACGACCTCCCACAAACTTCCTCGTTACTCTCAAAACAGCTCGTCCACTCATCTGCCTATGCAGTATTCTATTAGCCAACTTAAACATATCGCGTCCATCTGTGATATATCTAGTGTTCATTCTATTTTCGGCCCTAAAAACGTAAAAAAGCAACAATATTAACTTACGCATAACTCCTGATCAATATCTTTGCTGGCAAAATGTTTATATTTTTAAGTAACATTTTCCTCTAAAGTTGTATAAAGATTAGTTAACTACAAGAATACTTCATTTCGTCAATTTTAATAAAATTTTGTTTTATTTTTAACAAGGAACACAACACCAACAAAGTTTGCAAAATTCGTTTTCGTGGTGGGACCAAAATTAATGTCAAATGTAGCAAAATTTTGTAAATTTTTAGTTTTTTTTTAAATTATGGTCTACAGAAACGTTTAATTTTTGTTTAATTTTAGCACAACATGGCCGCTAGTTGTAAAGCCCGGCTTTCTACGAATCTTTTCGTCATTTGCAGTCAGACCCTCGGGCCAAAGGGAGTAAATCGACACATTGCAGCAACAGCATGGACTCTATGTCTAAAGTTAGACTTTTCTACGAATCTTTTGGTCATTTAACGTCAGGTCCTCCGGCCAAAAGAAGTAAATCGGCAGATTATAGGAATAGTTCACGGTGTTCTGCACGGCTGCCTCAAAATCATAGCACAGAGCATCGAAGTGTTCACAGACCTAATACAAGAAAAGAGATTGTAGTTTCAGCTAAGCTGTAAGTTATAGAATTTTATTATATGTTATTTTCAAGTTTTTGATTATAAATCAAACATTACAGGAATAGTTCCCGATCTTCTGAACGGCGGTCTCAAATTCATAGAACAGAGCATAGAAATACTCAGAAAAGTACTACATGAAAGGAGACTGTAGCTTCAGCTAATCAGTAAGTCATCATGTCATCTTGTTTTATGTTTTCTTCTAGTTGTTCCCGGTCTTCTGAATGACTGTCTCGAAGTCATAGAACAGAGCGCCCAAATGCTCACAGATCTACTACAAGAAAAGAGATAGCAGATTCAGCTAAACAGTAAGTTAAGCAGTTTTATTTATACAATCTCTTTTAGTTTTTGGTTATAAATCGAACATTACAGGAATAGTTCACGATCTTCTGAACGGAGGTCTCAAAATCATATAACAGATCATAGAAGTGACAGATCTACTACAAGGAAGGAGATCGCAGATTCAGCTAAACAGTAAGTTATACAATTTTATATGTTCTCTTTTTCAGCTAATCAGTAAGTTACACAATTTATTTCTGTTATTTCACGGCGAGCCCAAAGCGAGAAATAAATGGCTTTTTCGATTTTTGCGCAGGCTGCAGAAAGAAAAAAATCCTAGGTCAACTGTTTCATTTTGCGCCAAGTTTTATTCTTTATTTTTATTTTTGTAATATTATAGAAAAATGTAGTTTTGTGGTTTTTGAAGAGTTTTATAACTTTTTTAAAGAATTAACGCAAAATATTGTTGCAAATTGGACCAATGTGTAAATATAAGAATAAACTAGGCATTCGCAATATTTACATTGTTGTAAATGGTGGCTAAAATTTATTCTTGCTATTTATAATTCGGTGCGTCAATAACTGAAGTAAGTTTTGTATTTACAAGTCAATATTATAAGTTTATTTAATAGTAATTGATTAATTTATAATTGTGTGTCTTCATAATCAAAATACAGTCCGGTTTATCATTAACAAACGTCTTTCTTGCTGATTCCAATAGCAACTATTGTAACTTCTTAGACGGATCTTTTGTAAATATACGTTGACTCAAGCGATTGTAGTGTTTATGGCCTGCTTCAAGTCCTTGCTCACACAAATGTCCGATATCGTTTTTTTTGGGAATTTTCTGGATTCCGTGCAACAGAAACATATGTAATTTTTGGCCGGTGTGTTCAAGAGGCATCACAGTCTTAAGATCGTGTCCAAATTCGCCGATTAAGGCAATAACCTTTGTACATTCATCGTCTGTTAGTTTCTTAGCTGATGTATATGATCGTGCTTTGGAATTGGAAATTATTGTAAAAAATTGCCAAACCAGGCATAAAAGAACGATAATTACTGGATGAGATTTTACGAGTCAACGTGATTGGAAAGGTTTTACTTACCTCGTTTTCGGCGTTGTGCTAAAAGTGCTATCACTTTAGGATGTTTCTTTGAAGCTCGACTATCACCTTTTCTACGTGTTAATGGCATTACTGCTTATCTGGTTTCGTCTAAAATTATATTATAAGGTTTAAAACTCTTTTTCATTATTTATTACTAAACTGGTAATTAAAAAATTATATATTATATTACCTTTGTTTGAAATTAGGACGATCACCGTTGTTGCCGTCATTCACTGTTAAATCTAAAATTAATTATCCCATGCAAGCAAATTGTAACATACCTCAAGGAGAGATTCTACTGATTCGCTGTATTTTTTAAGCAAAACGATGTAAAAACTGGAATTATATCGATAGTTATCTTAACATTTAAATAATATACACGAAAGCGCAAAAAATTATCGTAACGCAAAGCATATCATTTTTGACTCCGTTAAAACGGTAAATTTTTTATTTTAACCCGTGCTAAAACCTAAAATTTTCAGTTTTTTTAAATATGAAGTCTTGATCATACGACCGGCAAGAGATTACACGTCTCTGTTTGAAGACCTCATGTTGGGTATCGCATAATTTTTCCAACGTTGATGTTTTTAATACGTAATACAACTGTCAGATTATATTACCGTGACATTTATTTGTAGCTGTACAACACCTAAGTTATCATCTATACCGTGTCACAACTTCCAGGTGTTGATATATAGCATAGGATTTTTGTTATGTGATTAGAGCGGTAAATGTATTATCGTGCTTAAATCACCATTCTTAAAGTTCAAACTGTCTACCTATAGACAAACTCTTTTCGACGTCCATAACATAATTTTATAAACAATTTAATTATTTAAGATCAACTTTTTTCATTATTATGTTGAAGTAATATTTATATGCATTAAAAAGGTTATTCAAGGTGTACCTGAAGAAATAGCCACTCTTTGCATCTAAACCTTTTCATGAATGGAGAATAACTAGTTTTAGCACGTATAGCATGGTTTTGTTAGCAATTATTTACTTATGAACTTGTTTGTGTCAAAATATTTACTTTACCTGATAATGACTAACATAAGGTTTTCAAATTGTACCTCAAAAAGTAGGTCGTTTTTGGATCTGAAACTTCATAAAAACCAAAAAAAGTCAATTTAGATGTGTATAGCATGATTTTTTAAAAAATTATTTGTTTTACAGAAAAGTTATGTAACAAACTTATGCTAATGGTAGTACGCTTTAAAAAGTCATCGAGACGTAGCTTAAAGAATATATTCCATTTAGGTCTCAAACCTATCAATAATAATCACAAAACGAGTTTAATGTGTATGATATAATTTAACTATCATTTTCTCACTAATCCGTAAAGTTCTTCCGAGAAATTATGTTAAGGTACTGCTAATATGGCTTAAAAATATATCCCGAAAAATAAGAACTCAGAGGAGCTGAAACTTTTCAAAAATAAGCAAATAGTAATTATAATATATGTAGAAATCTTTTTTCGGCAATTGTTTACCTATCTAGCAATTTATTTTATAATATTTGGTGTGGGTGCTGATGACTAAAATAAGGTTTTCAAAGTGTAACTCAAAAAATATGCTGTTTTTAGATCTGAAATTTCTTACATATCAAGACAAGTTAATTTCGGTGTGTATAGCATGATTTTTTTGCAAATTATTTGCTTTCTAGAAAAGTTATGTTACGAAATTATGTTATTCTAGTGCTAATTTGCCTTAAAAAAGTTTTCAAATCGTAACTCAAAAAGTGAACCACCTCTTGAGCTGAAACTTTTCAAAAATGAAGAAAAACTAATTTCGGTGTGTATAGCATGTTTGTTTCACAAATTACTGTTATATTAAAAACGCTATATTGATTTATCTTATTTTTGACAATTTGCCCTAATTTTATTCGAAAGCCCATAACTCTTTTAAGAATGCAGCCAAGTAAATGAACTTTTAACAAAATTTAAACTCTAATATCTAACTAATCTTGTAATGTTGTTATCACTGTAAAACTTCTTGCCGTTTAACGGGTATATTGCAGTAAACCTTGAAGTGACCCGAATTTGCGTTTTTCTTTCCGACCTGCGCCCAAAACCACTTTCGTCTCGAAAATAAATAAAAGTGGGCTCGCCGTGATTTCCTTAATTTTTTAAATATTTTATTTTTTACGAGCAACACAACACCAAAAAAGTTTGCTAAAGTCGTTTTCGTGTTGGGACCTAACATAATGCTAGATGTATAACAAAATTTTGTAAAAATTTTATATTTTTTCCAAATTCTTGTTATAAAATTATGCTTCTATAGAAGATTTTTGTTAATTTTCAGAACAAACATGGACGCTAGGTCTAAAGCTCGACGTTTCTTCGAATCTTCCGATCAACCATCATCGAGTCCTCCGGCCAAAAGAAGTAAATCAACACATTACGGAAATAGCTCACGGTCTTCTGAACGACGGTCTCAAAGTAATAGAACAGAGCATCGAAATGCACACGTATCTACTACAAGAAAAGAGATTGTAGATCCAGCTAATCAGTATGTTATATTGTTGTATCACTTCTTTTCAAGATTGAATTTAAAAACGAAACTAATGTAAGATGTTTCCAGACCATTAAACGAAGAACATTTTGAAGATGCTTTTGCAGCTTTTGGGGATATTGACTTTAGCGCGCTACAGAACTTGAACGATGAAGGGGAAGATGGTTTGAACGATGTTGTAGTAGTTCGAAAGCCAATTACGGCTGAAGATCGGGCAAAAACCATGGCCAAAAGATGTCAGACGATTGATGATGATCATGATACGTACGTTTTTTTTTAATTTTTGTTTTTAATTTTAGGTGCAAGCTTTAATATTGCTCGGGATTGATGAAGAGAGCAAGTTATTGATTGTGTCACTTATTGATTGTTGCAAAAGCATTGTAAGAAGTATTAGTACATTAATACTTGTAAAATGACTTGACCAAAGCAAGATAGATGCATTTAAGTATGTATTAGTTCTTTGGTTCAAGTATTTTCTCTTACTTTGGCTACTGCGAACATTATCTTACTTTATAAATGGTCTGTAACACTAAACTTAATTATTGTAGTGTCACTATTGAAATAGATTTTGTAAAGTTATAGTTTACATTGAATTGTACGTCTTTTCACTCTCTGTTTATGGTATTTTGTGTTTTAGGATTATGCTCAGTGATTATTCGGACCCAGAAGATGAGGTTATGATAGGTGGGTGTATATTTTGATAACACTTATTTAAAATTTTTTATAGTTAATGAGGTACTGCCAGATGGTTCCGTCGCGCCAAAAAACCAAATTCCAATACCAGAAAAGGAAGCTAATTGGATGTCGCTTTCTGGTCCTTTGATATTACCTAAAATCCCAAAGGCTAAATGTACGTTTCTACTGGTTTTAATTGATAAAGAGCTCACTGAAAATCTTTTATAGTCAGCAATAGGCTGCCAGATGGTGGTGTTGCGCCTAAAAACCAAAATCCAATACCGGAAAAGAAAGCTCATTGGTCGTTGGCTCCTATGAATTTACCTGCAATTCCAAAGGCTAAAGGTACGTTTTTAACTGATGTTATAAAGAGTATTTTAAATAAAGAGTTTTAATAATTTTAACATTATTGGAGAATAAATAGGTAGTATTAAGGTTGTTGTTTTAAAAAGCGTTGTTTTGTTTTTATAGTACTTTTGGTTATGATTTTAATGTTAAACAAGGTGTTTTAGTTCCAATGAATAAAGGAAACAATTCTCCGACGAAAAAAGCCAACAAGTTTAGTCAAAAAGACTCAAATATTGTAAGTTTCTTGTTAAGAATCATTCTATAATTTACTTTTGTTTTTTTTTGATTGTTTTTTGCGAAGTTTGATGCCTTAAAATGATTGACCTTTATTTCAGCCATCGTCCAGTACTTCTACACCAAGGAAAAGTGCTAGATTAGCGAACAAAACCCAGGAACCTCAAAAATCTGCAGCAGCTTCAGAACCTAACCAGGGTAAAAAGGGAAAGTCAAGGAATTCGTCAATTGTTCTAGTTGAAGAATCTTTTGAATCGGAAGCTGTTGTAGAAGCAAACAGCAGTCAGAAAAGAATGTTTCATCAGCACCTTAGTCTTGCTCAAACAGAAGTATATAAGATGGACAAGAAGCAGAAAGAGGAAAACAAGAAGAAGAAACAGAAAGGTAACACAAAGGCTGCCGAAAGCAATCAAAGCAATGTGGAAACTGCAAAGAAACAGAAAACAAAACAGAATTTGGCCAAGAGTAATCAACCATCATGGAGCACGGCATCTACTGTTAATGTGGCTTCTACGTCAGTCATACCTAAATTAGCTTTTGTCTCTACTGATGTTACCATGGGCGCTGTATCAGCTCAAGCTAGTAAAACTAGTTTATTTGTTAAATCTGAAGTTAAGAGCCTATCTCAAGAACCAATGGAAGTTGACAATGAAGACGAGGTGAAAGGAGAAGGTCAGGTGAAAGGGGAAGTTCAGGTGAAAGAAGAAGGTCAGGTGAAAAATGAAGTTAATGTGGATGAAGATATTGTTGTAATTGATCAAATTATCAAAAAGGAATTGCCATCGTTACCAACAAGGTCAAAGAAATTGGCTAAAAATAAGGAAGTGAAGTGGACATCGGAGTTGGTTATGGTACCGAAGAAACCAGTGAGTTTGGATATTATTACGGTGAAAAGTAGTTAAAACAGTCGAAAACATACGTAAACTGATATATACTGTGTATTTAATGGCTGCCGGTTTAGAAATTTTAGACTGGGGGTTAAGAAATTTGTTATGATAAAGGTAAATTCTGGGCGTATCAAGTTTACCTTTTGATCTATAGAGAAGATGCATCTATTACTAACATTAATATTATATTTTTTTAGATGTTTAAGTGCATTTTCTGGCTAAGTTTTATGTTGTTGTTGTGTTTTATTAGGAAAAAGACGCTTTATTTTTTGCTTTTGCTAGTTTTCAGGGATTTTTATCGCGATTCAACTCGTTTTTTATTTTTAAACGGGACTTTTTTCGATTTTACTTGTTTCGAAAAGCATTATTAACTATTGTATAAGATTAATTTTGAATTATATTACGATTTTAATTTTTACAATTACAAATTATTACGATTACAACTTTAGTTATTACTTTTTTTAGTAAAAGCTTATTATTGTGACAAAGTTAAAGGGCATCATAGATAGGGGTCTTGACAAAAGCATTATAGATTATGTGGGACCGGTATCATTTAAAAAACAACTGATATGTCACTAAAATTTTATATTTTCTTATATTTACATATATTTCTTCCAATTCTAGATGAACGTGTTCTCACCAAACACTAACGGTATAGTTGTGACGATATGCACATACAATGTGTTATGCGAGACCACCAGAATCAGATGTTCACATTTGTATCGTGCATGTGATCAGAAAGCCTTGAAATGGTCCGAAAGATGGAAGAAGATCGAGGCTTTCTTGACCAACAGCTACTCTGATGTGTTTTGTCTCCAGGAGGTCGAGGACAAACATGTCATCGCGTATTTTAGGCCGTTCTTTGAGAGGAGTGAGTTTTAAATTAATGTGTTGGTGGTCTGATCTTACGTTACCTTTCGTACCTAAAGGTTGGACTTGCTTTCTTTCTTTTTTGATCTATTTTCTTGCATTCCTACTGCCTACTACAATATTTTATCTTTTGGGCGTGTAAAACACTAAAATGACTGATTTCAGTAAACTACGATTACTTTTACTTACCGCGAAGAAATGGCAACCCAGATGGATGTCTAATCGCATACAACAAAAAGGTTTATCAACAGCTGAATTATCAAGAGATCTGCTACAATAGGGGAGCTGAAGGCTTTAACAAGGACAATGTTGGTGAGTTTTTTGAAATTTCGTTGGATTTTAGGTATGTTTTGAAGAAAAAGGACGTAAAAAAGGTATGCACATTGATACCTTCAATTTTAGGCCAATTATTATCTCTACGACACATTCAATCAGGTCTTGTTTTTAATGTTTTCAACACCCACATCTTGTTCAACATGAACCGAGGCGATTTGAAGCTAGGGCAGTTGATATTGATGATGTCTAATGTCATAAACAACACAATATCTCTGCGCGGCTCTAATTTTGTTGGCAACTTTTTGTGCGGCGACTTCAACATGGACCCAAAGTCTCCATTATATCACTTTGTGAGGGAGGGTAATATCAACGTGAGCAGCTTCACATCTCCAGACGTCTGTGTGAACAAACAGAAGGCGCCTCAGGTTAGGGATGACAAAAAGAGGATTAACATCAGGCCGGTTGCGGTGGGACTGGACTACGATTGCTCGATACGGAAGGCTAAGGGTAAGGTTTTGGGCAATATCGATTTGAAACGGGCGGGTCCAGTTGGGAAATTTTTGAGAAAGGAATGTACTTTCTAGACATTACTATCATTCGTATATGTATAATATTATAAAAGTTGAATTTTCAGGTTTAGCAAACATAAAATCGACGTTTACTCACCCACTAAAGTTCTTGTCAGCTTATTCTCATGTGACCTTAGATGGAAAGCCAGAAATATCAACTAGACACCTTGACTACGGATGCCCGGACTTTATCTTTTACCAAACTGACAAACAGGTAATGATTACTGAGCTTGAGTAGTATATACAAGAATTTGAAAAAGATAGGTTTTTAACGAACTTGATAAGTAATATGTCTAACGAAGGGCTGCACTTAATCAAACGGTTTGTTGAAGTTATAAAGTGCTCAGAAAGTATTGGAGTTTTTGAAGGTACAGATAAATAAATTGCTGAAAAGACTTTGATATTTTATTTTTTTTTTCTTTGTAGTAATTCTATAATAATAACAGTTTTAATGTTTTTTGCTCACAAAATTATAAAAGTACTTTCAGTGTGCTTCAAACATAGAAACCAGAATCAGATTATTGAGAAGAATACCCTTACCTTCTCTGAGTGACATCGACAGTACAGTTGGGCCAATGCCTAATCACCATTTTGGATCAGATCATCTTCCATTACGGGCTGAATTTTTCATATTTTAGACATATCAGACCTAAAATTACAGCAGATATGCATTTGTCCACGAAACGCATTTTGGCTGTTTCAAAGATAACAAGTTGTTTTGCTATTTGCATTTATATCATAGTAGATTTAACTTTAAATTAAACGGGTATTATTTATTTTGTTGTTATATTGTTTTGTTGCAAATAAACTAATAATATTATGGAGAGATAATGTCATTATGTTGTTTTACTCAATATTTTAGTTATTTTACGTTTTTTTATACATTAAACTACAAATTGTTGTTGATAGGGCCGGGCGGGGGTCCGAATTTTTTTTCCAAAAATTTACAGGGGGAACCACGTTCAAATTTTTTCGAAAATTTTTTTTCTGGGGGTACCCCCCCGTCCCCCCCTCGCGCCTGGCCCTGCTTGTTGACATATAGTTAAAGTATAGTTTGTGGGCAAGGTGTATGTTTTATATTTATGTTAAATCGACTTTAAACTTGTTTATATTGTAATATAGCCTTGAAGAGTTTAATAAATGGTCAAAATTTTAATTTATAACAATCTTATACTGCAAACTTGATCAATTTTACATTTTCTAATTATAATATACTACCGTATCTTTAGATTTATGTCAGCCTGGTCTAAAATTCGATCTCAGTTTACGTTAAAACGAGCCAAGTTCCTAGTCTACTTCTACTCTACCTGTTATGTTATCAATAAGCACTTCGGAGAGCTGATTATTTGTCGCGGCAACTCTATGTTACCAACCTTAAAGGACGGCGATTGGGTGATCGGAGAGAGGTTTACTGTAGCCAAAGGACAGCTCAAGATCGGGGATATCGTATGTTCATTAAGTCCAGTAGACCCAAGAGTTTTACTCTGTAAAAGAATAGCTTTTATGGGCGCTGATAAGGTAGGTGGCTTTTATATTATAGTATCTAGTCTAATATTGCAGTACTTGGCAGTTTTGTGATTGAGGTCTCTTTTAAAAGTATTTTATTGTTTTATCACTGACATTCATATTCATTGATATACTGAAGTAATCTTCTTATAATACTCATATCCACCTTCAGATCGAGGTAGACCAAGAATACGAAGCCCCATTAAAGAGAGTACCTCTAGGCCATTGTTATCTGCTAGGAGACAACTCAGCCGAATCTCAAGACTCTCGACACATTGGACCAGTACCAGTAGGCCTAGTTCAAGTAAAGCTATCTGCCAGAGTTTGGCCGCCAAGTCGAATCGGCTGGATAGAACATCACGGATCTCAGTAGGCGCATATTATAGTAGGTTGTTTTATGTTCACGTGGTTACAATAAATATAAAAATTAGAAAAAAAGCTTATAAGGTACAGAATAGTAAGAGTAAAAAATTAAAAAATGAAATTTTTTATACGAATTGGGTATAAAACGAGTTTATTAAGCAAAAAATGACGGATAAAGTGGTCGAATTGGCAGTCGGCTGGCTATGTTATGTTCATCATGCCACACTGAAACAAAGTTACGTTATTTAGAGTACAAATTAAGTTAAAAGGACTTAAAAAGTTACAAATGATACCTAAACCTTATCTAAAATTTATTTCATGGAGGAAAACTTCGACCAAAACTTTATATATTAATATTATAAACCACATAAACCTACTTGTCCTTTTCCAAAACCCTCCGCTCTTTTCGAATTCTCTCCACCAATTTGGACATCACCGACTTCAAGTTCACCTCCTGATTAAACTTTCGCACTTTACACGCAGTAACGACCGAAATGATCATCAAACCCGTACTGAGACAAGCTGCGAATACAACCATACCATGGTAGACGGCCGTATGATCGACAACATACGAAGTCTGCGGCTCGGTCATTTCTTTAGTTTCGACTGGTGGATGAGGAAAAAATTAAGAAAAGTGAAAAGAATTTGAAAAATTATCTTGAAAATTGAAAAAAAAAAAAGATTTGGAAGTTCAAAATTTTGTTTTTTTACCCTACTTTACCTTACTCTACCGTACCGTACCCTACCCTATCCTACGCTACCCTACCCTACCTTACCCTACTCTATCCTATTTTACCCAACCCTGCCCTATTATGGTCTACTCTATTTGGCCCTACCTTACTCTATTTACCTTACCTCACCTTTTTCTATCATTCCCAACCTTACCACGTTCTATTCAACTCTACCCTATCCTACAATGTCTTACAATGCCCTAACTCATCTTTCTTTACCCTACTCTACTCTGTGCCCCCACCTTTTTCAATTTTAAAATTTATTGAAATTGGAATGTCTTTTTCGAACCGAGCGACCGTGATTATAATGCAGGAGGTTTATGGTTTCTTTGACTGGAAATAATTTAAAATTTATTTCTCCTCTCACGTGTGCGTTTCGGGCCCGCAGGGGATGAGAGTATTTCTTGTTTTTGTTTTTCGCTTTTTGGTTTGGCCATTAAACCCAAAAAGGGATGCCACTTCTGTTACGGCCCTTTAATTGTCCGTTGATCACATTGTTCTTGCTGCTCGGGAATGTAGGCTATGGAGAATGTGGATGCCGGACTTTGGGGAGGGGTATTTTTGATTGATTGTTGGGGGGGGAGGGCGAGGTTAGATAGGGAGAAGTAAGGATAGCTAAAAAGGCAGGGTTTCTTAAACTAAAAAGAAATCGGTGTCTGGCGGACGGTTTTGGCCTAGGCCGTGGTTGTGGTGGGGAATGCGGCAGGTGGGGAGTGGAGAAAATGAAATTTTTTTAATTTCAAAAATATATTTAAGGGGGAATGCGTTACATTTAACCCCTCCCCCCCCTTTTTTTCTAATCTTGCTTATAACTGTATTAAAAATTTTGTCATAAAAGTCAATTTAAACAACCTAAACCTTATCTAATAAGTCTGAAAGTAAGCTCAAGTTGTTGTATGTTATGGTTGTTTCAAAAACAAAAATAAACTATGCGTGAAAATGACAGACGTAATGGAAGTGTCGGCACTCGAAAGTCGTTTTAATATTCATGGGACAGCTTTAATCCCCTCAGGCTAGCTCATTTTCAGTGTTTAGCCATAACTTTTCTCGTTCTTCGATGAGTTGTTCTATTCTTTTGTAGGCTTATATTATAGTTAGTCTGTAGTTTAAGCTACTTTACCGTAGTATAAGGAAAGATAATCCTTGTAAAATAAAAAAATATTTTTTGAATTTTTTGTTCTGTGAAGGTCTTACTGTAACTTTTGATAAAAAATTGTTGTATATTTACCAAAATAGTAGATTATATGCAGCTAAAGAAGTAATATATGATCTTTAGTAGAGTAAAAGGCTGTACTTTTGTTATAAGTATAAGTTTAGTTCTAAAAATACCAATTCAGATGCAATTACCTTAATGTTTGTCAATCAACTATTCAAATATGGTCGTGTCATGTTTATGTTTTTGCTGCAAACTCAGTGTTTGATGTCAGAGAATTGCAAAAGTTTTAAAAGTTTGGTCTCTGTACTTTTATATACGTGAGGTTGTTTAATATTAATCATGTCAACAAGGTTTATACTAGTACTTAAAGGATAAATCATTTTGAAAACGTGTGTTTTACTATTTATTGATGCATAAGTTTATCATAGTCTTACGGTAGCTTTGTTGTAGTTATTAGAGGCCGTTTTGTTTATTATAGGCCTTTTATAGCCTTTTGAAGCCTACTGTTACTTTCCCTTAGACCTATTCAGTTAGTCCTATCATAACCGTACCTTAGCCTCACTATAACTTTACCTTAACTCTACCCTATGACTTATACTAGGCCGTAGCCGTACTATAACTCCATCTTAAAATTTTGTTAGTCTGACCATACATCTACCCTGGCCTTATCATAACTTTACCATAGCTTTACTCTATGGCTTTTTCTAGGCCACCGGCTAGCTTTATCGCGGCTCTAATTTAGCCATATCATAGTCCTACTTTAATCCTACCCTTATTTAACATATGCTATACTGCAGCTTTACTTTACCGTTATGCTATCTGACTATTACTTTAGAGTTTCTTTGTTACTACACATCATAAGCACATTATAAGAACACTATCAGCACATTATAAGCGTGCTTATCTAGTGGTGTGTTAGTGTTAATATTGGTCCAAAAACATTATTTTAAATTATTTTAAAATTAAAAATTCAGGGTTAAAGGCAAGGTAAACAAAGCCTGCAGGTGTTATAACCTCGAAAACAAACAAATTGATATTAAAATCAACACTTTTTGCTTATTTAAAGTTGTGCTACCTTTTTAATCTAAAAATGTTTTTTTCGGCAGTATTTTATGAAAAAAGTGTGTTGCCATAGTAAGCTGTACACTTACGGACTATTATAATATAGTTATAGTAATTACTTTTGTATTTTCTGCCAAATATCGCTACATTCTGTTAATTAATCTCATACCTATAAATTTAAGCTCAAAAACCTCTATTCTCGTCAAATTACAGCCCTTTGTAGCTATAAAACGTTTCATTGTTTTAGCCCTTTCCTCATGCCCTGAGGTCAGAATTTCGAAAAAATTCGAAATTACTTTGGGCCCGCCCCATTCTGGAACTAATATCCTTGGCGAAGAAGTTTGGGGGAAATATCTAATTTTTTTTGTTTTGGCCACAGCCCTTCCTTAAAAAGGCTCCTTAAGGCCGGCCTCGATTCCGGTGTGGAATTCATTCTGCCAACAAAGGCACTCACATCTTCATTATCTACGTAGCCCGAGTGGATGTGTAATGTAGCTGGGGTTGGCGGGTTTGGGAATGTGAAGGGTTGTATAAGATTGAGATTACGTTGATGTAGGAGATAATGGCTTGATTTGTGAAAAAAGTTGAAGAGGGGGGGGGGATAAAAAGAGGGAGGGGTGGTATTTTACCGGGATTTTTTTAAACTTTTTTTTCTCGTTTTTATTACTTACTTGCCTGTACATTTTGATCTATTTTTAGGTAGATACCACCAATAACCCTCCAAAACTTCATGACACTTCTTACATTAAGTTGATAATCTACCAGTAAACAATTACTACAAAGTTTGGTTGCTCTACCTTATTCTACTCATTAAAAACGGAGCGACAACGATAGCACGATGAGCTGGCTCTTCAAGAGTCAGGTAGGTTACTTTTGCAGTTTTTGCGGTAACATTGACTGTAAAATGGATGGTAAATTAGTTGTAAGTATGATAATAAGTTTTAATTCCTAAATGTATAATGCGCATGTTATAGTATATACTGGAGTTTGAAAAAATGGCTTTTTTAGTTCAAATTTTAATTTTTAAAATATTTTTTGAATTTTTACATTTAAAAAAAATTTTTTTTTAAATTTTTTTTATTAAAATGTCATCGATAACGTATTCATAATGCTTTTATGAATACATTATGTTTAAAGTAATAGGATTGGAGTCTTTACAATACATTACTATAATGGCTTTTCTGTGATACGTAGTAATAGTATTGAAATTCAATTTGAAACATTGTAATATGACAAAAAGAATACAATTAATACTGTTTAGGGAACAAAAGATACGTAAATGTTCTTTACATTAGTACAAAGTACTTATTTTCTTAATATTGTCAACAAGGTTTGTAACATTAGATTGTTTTAATAATTGTGCTCCTTAACCTCAAAAATTTGCTTAGAAAGGTGACACAGAATTATTTGAACAACCTAACGTATATACATATATATATATATACACAAACAGATACGTATATATACTATAAAGTAAAACTCATAGCTTGTTGACAGTTATTTACTGCTCATAACTGAAATTGAAAAAGTAGTTCTAAAATGATTTGTCATCACGCAATTTACCGTGTTTACTAACTTTTTGGGTTTTGCCATGGTAACACTACTTTCCATGTATCATATTTCACAATGTTTTGGAATATTTCAACTGTTTTTGGGTAAAATACGGTCCGTTAGCTTCAATTGGCCTCTTTACATCAAATTTTAATAAGATTTTAAAATTTTTTGTAAACTACGGCTTAAGTACCGCTGTCCACCTTACATATTGTTATAGACATACAATATTAAAACATAAAGTAAAGCTTATAATAGTCTATATTAGGTTGTTCAAATACATCTGTGCCTACTAGCCCCGAAAAGTTTCTTTGACGGGGGGCACAGAATTATTTGAACAATCTAGTAAATATAATAGATAAGTAAACTGTATATTGCCTTAGGCAATTCAGTGTAATTTGTTCAAAATTAATGTGTTTCTCTATGACTTTTGACATTGCATTTAAAAGTAATGGCCATTTTATGTCACATTTATGTTACTACATTCGTCATAATGTAAACGAACGTATAAATCATGTCGGAAACATAAAATAGATATACTACAATGTTGATTTTGAACATTTTTATCTTTAGGCCAAATTGCGTTAAAAAAAAATGACTTTTTCGTTAGAAAATGGCATTTTGTTTCAAAAAATTCAAATTTACGCCATGCTTTTTGCATCAACCTTTTGACTGTCATAGTGCTGTAAAAATGGATTGTAAATGAATATTAGGGCAGGTAATGTTCCACTCTAGTAAAAAATGCGCAGTAAAGACGATGGGCAACAACAAAAAACTGTTTTTGAATTCATTTATCTTATGTTAGCCTGAGGCATTTTTTAAAAATTTAAATTAAAAAGCGTTCTTGTGGATTTGAATAATGACTTTAAGATAACCATTATTTACTATGCATTTTTGACAGTAAAATTTTTCCATAGTTTGTGACGGGCAGGTGTTTTTGGCCTAGTGGAGGAGTGAGTGAAAAATTTTTGAAAATTTTTTTAATCGGCAAAGGGGAGGACATTTTTAGCTTTTTTTAAATTTTTTTTGTAAAGCATATGTTTGTTCAAATAATTCTGCGCCCTCTAACCCCAGAAATTTGCTTTGAGAGGA